AGAGTGGATGATAGCGGCATAGAGTTTTGTGTTTTCTTCATGCGTATAATATCTCAATAGGGCACTTTTTTATAGGCGGTCATCCCAGGTTAGACTATATGCCAAGGGATCATCTATCTGCACGTGGGTACCCATATGTTGTGTTGCCTCGTCCCGTTAATACAATCCAAATTGCCATATTTCTCTTCAGCAATGTATATTTGTGTTTGTCTTTATGCCTACCACGAACACGGGTATCTCAAAGCACACTGTATGTGCAATCTGAAGAACCGGCTCCATATTTTGTAGGACCTAATACAAGAAATAAATGATGGATCTTTCCAAGGGTCGAGAATTAAGTATGAAGCATCAATAAAACTCTTGTAAAAATGCCCCTGTAACAGTTTTACTGGCAGTTATTAGGATTTTATCCCCTATTATTTGGTTCGGTTTGATGAAGTACAGCGACACAACATATGGGCAATCTGCCAAGGGGGGGTGCCTCCCGGGAGAACTTTCTACGAGAAACTGGTCCCTATTTAAGTTATAATTAAAATTATATTCATTAATTCAAACATTATGCATAATCATGCTTACAATACACAGATCTATATAAACATTCTTAATGTTTATAAGCCCTTCATAACATTGGTTCCCCGATCTTAACTCTTACCTCTCAACATAAGTAATACTTAAAGGGATGCTTGAAGGCCCTAGCCTCAAGACCTATGGCCACTCTCCACGGCTCTGCCTATAAGTAAATTAATTATAATTTTATTTTAGGCCTCAATAGTTTTTTTTAGCTTTTTTCGCCCTATGGATACCAAGAGAGCCTTTTTACATACCCGTCGTGTGTTCTTCAGGCCCAAAATGAGGGAGATCAGGTAATGAGGCACGAAATCTGACGTACCCGGAAAACATGCCCATGAAAAATGCCATCCACCACAAAGAAATCTTCCGTTTCACTTTCCCATTTACAATCTCCCATTTCCTCATTCCTCATGAGGAAATTTTGGATTAATTATAAAGGTACAAATAAATAAATAAATGTCCTTAAAAATATACGAATTAATTATATCCAATGAATAAAAGAATTGTACAATAAAACTTATGTAAACCGGACTGGCACGGCACCGAATATTTGTCCGGTTTAGGCAGGTTTCCACTTTACTGAGGTTCCGTTTTAAATAGATTCTACTGTAATTAATTAATGTTAATCATGTAAAAGTGTACATTTTTCAGAGATAAAACTCACACGTATCTATTACTACAGTCTTCTTCTTCTTCTTTTGTCCCTAGCTGNTCCAATTTTTGGGGTGATATATAGTCTCTGTCTGTGTCTGTGGCCCATATCCAATTTCTCGCCAGCGTCCTGGGACCATAGTGCTGGCGCATCGGCTGCCCCGGATGCGGAAGCATTAGCTGCAATCTGGATTCGTTCGAAATTCATGCGGTTTCTTGGCTAGTTTCCCCAGTTTCCTGGTTCTGGTCATTTCGCCAGAATGACCACCTTCCTCCTTTCGCAGCCGGGCTTAGGACCGTCCAAGGCGGAGTTCTATTACTACAGTACACGACATTATTAAAATAATCAATTAAAATTATTCTGTACTTCTAATTACTTAATTTATAGGAAATTTTATAACAGAATAATATAATTAAGTTTGCTGTAACTCTGCCAATTACGGCAGAGCAATTGCCACGTTGTACAAAAGCTATTAAGCTCGATTGTATTGCATAATACAATCAAATTTAATTTCTTCGTGCGGACATCCCGTTGATGAAGCAAGAACCCGTTAATTACCACCATATTTAGTGGTTTCATCCACTCAACCTCTGAGATAATGGCTTCTATTTAGATTAGACACGCGAATCCACGACCCAACTTCAGTGGTTTCGTCCACTCAATCCACAGGTTTGAACATTAATAGCATCATTAATAATAAATAAACACGCATATAAATAATAAAATTTACTAAATAACAATAAACATTATGCAAAACAATCATAAAATAATTAAAAATATTAATATTTACGTGAATAGTGATGTTGACCTTCGTCCATGCTCAACGCCCCGCTTTACGACGGCTATTCAGCGTGGCATTTCTCTTGTTGATTTAATTTAATTTCAACTAGTTTCATTAATTATTATTCAATTAAAGTATAATTTACTCATTTAAACATTTAAAATAATAAACAAGTATAAAACTAACTTTATTTTCTAATTGCAAACAGGATGACATTGAATATGATTCAACACTAATTATAAAATTACGAATTATTTTCTTTTATAAATTACCGTAATCATCATAAGAAATTTGAATTTCTAAAGTACCATTCTTCATTTTACTGCTTTGGTATGGTATTATATTAAATTTATTGTATTCGGTTGAAATCCCTCAGTTACAATGAAGAATAGAGATTCAAACATGGCGTTTTGCCATCATAAAATTAATTGCAATGCCGAGCAGAACTTCAGCGAAATTTATGATTATTATTAAAGGATCTATCGGGAAAACGACCCCCTTTTTAAAGATCTCTCTCACTTAAACAGGTACAGACCATTTGCCAAGCGATCTTCGTACCCCGAACACTGGAAGTTCGGTCGTGGGTTCTCTCCTCGATCGGACAGGCTAGACACGTGGAGTTTTCCGGGTTTTCTCCACGTCTGTAATGCCTAAATAGGGACCAATTTCTCTTAAAAAGACCCCCGGAATGGCAGATCGCTCAAGTGTTGCATTGCCATGACTTAACGAACAACACTTAAAAATAGGCGTAGACTTGTACAGTCGACCCCCCTATAACACTGTTGATAATTTCGTTTTATATGAATTCCATGTTGTATGAGTCACTTAGATTTTACAAATTCGTGTGCCAGGCTGTGAACGGCTCATGTATTTGTAAAATCTAAGTGACTCGTACAACATGGAATTCATATAAAACGGAATTATTAACAGTGTTATGGGGGGGTCGACTGTTCCGTTTTATATGAATTCCATGTCGTACGAGTCACTTAGGTTTTACAAATACGTGTGTCGGGCTGTGAACAGCTCACGTATTTGTAGAAGCTAAGTGACTCGTACAACATGGAATTCATATAAAACGGAATTATCAACAGTGTTATAGGGGTCAACTGTAATTTTTATATTTATATAAGTTTATTTAATCTCTTTAGGCCTAGTTAATTTTGGAAAATCTTAATAAGGCGAATAATTAATGAAATTAATTAATTTAAGTAAAATATACAATGAAACCAACAAATAATTGGGGAATAACGTGTCGCCATCTGTTGATTAATATGTAGATTAAAAGGAAATTTTGGTTTGGTTCTTTTGTATACGGCCAAGCAATACGTGGGCGACCTGCCAAAGGGGGGATGCCTCACGGGAGGTCTTTCTATCCCCCTATTTATTGGTCACAAAGATGAAAATCCGGAAAACTCCACCCTTTGGCCAGAATCGAATTCACAATCAACTACCCACACGGTCACTGGTGGGCATGTTATATCGAGAGAATTGTTTTAAACAAAAGTTTAAATACTAAAATACATTTAATACCTCAAGAACATCTTAAAACACCATACTGTCAGATACTATATTATTATTACCATTAAAAATTAAGTTTTTCATGTCGTTTGTTGAGCGAAATTGTGCTGAAATGCAAAGTACAGCATCAACAACGTTGCATAATCATTTATTATGAGATATTTCCACCTCTCTCATTGCTCGCAGCATCAGCATCATGGATATGTTCTGTAAATTTATGAAGCAATGGTAATATCTTCACTTCATCATACGCAGCTTTCAGTCAGGAGTGATTGGTTTGGTTTATTTGTTTATGGCGACAATGCCGAGGGGGGATGAATCCCGGGCGAAACTGGCCTGTTTAGGTTTTACTAACGTGAAGAAAACCCGGAAAACTCAACCCTTTGGCGAATTCACAACCAACTACCCACTCGGTCACTGGTGGGCATGTTATATCGAGAGAATTGTTTTAAACAAAAGTTTAAATACTAAAATACATTTAATACCTCAAGAACATCTTAAAACACCATACTGTCAGATACTATATTATTATTACCATTAAAAATTAAGTTTTTCATGTCGTTTGTTGAGCGAAATTGTGCTGAAATGCAAAGAACAGCATCAACAACGTTGCATAATCATTTATTATGAGATATTTCCACCTCTCTCATTGCTCGCAGCATCAGCATCATGGATATGTTCTGTAAATTTATGAAGCAATGGTAATATCTTCACTTCATCATACGCAGCTTTCAGTCAGGAGTGATTGGTTTGGTTTATTTGTTTATGGCGACAATGCCGAGGGGGGATGAATCCCGGGCGAAACTGGCCTGTTTAGGTTTTACTAACGTGAAGAAAACCCGGAAAACTCCACGTGACCGTCCTATTGGCGAGACACGAACCCACCAACAGTATTCAGCGGTTTTATACCCTCGGTTGGGCACCGGTGAGCACACACCGTATTGGCAATGATGCCATACATAATTGAAACAAATCTTCACCATTAATAGTGATAAAACATGGTAAAAAAACGTATATTATAACTTTAAATTGTTCCCATTAAATACGCCAGTAAAATCATTAAATTCATCATAGGTTCCACATGTAATTATGGAGTTAACTTAAAAACTGTATCCAATCCAATTTTATGGTATTGATGTAAATGTTTACCATTAAATTAACTTATAATTAAATATTTAAAGACCATTCTAAGTAATAATATTAAAAAATTATCAATACTTTATGTATGAATTGGATTATATACGAGTGAAGGCAGGTTGGCCAAGCTGCTAGGCTGACAGCTCTAAGGGCAATGGGATCGAATTGGGACGGAACCCTAGGAATTTTTCGGTGGTGGACTGTTCGGATATTGTGAAAATGAATCTAAAGACGGCGAGAACGACCTATAAAATGGTCCTTCTTAAAATTTTAATGTAATTTTTGAGGGTTAAAAACAGGAGAAATCAGGGACACAAGTTAAAAATCAACTTTCAAATAGAATTATAATTAATTATATATTATCAAAAGTTTATTAGCATTCCTAGAAAGTTTACTAATAATTGATTAGAAAACGAATGTAAAATTTCATTCTTGTCACGACTTTATGATGCTGATAAAAGAGTTAACAACTGGGTTGATAAGATTTACATATTAATTAATTATATTGGATTGTATTTGTAGAATTTTCTTCATGATTTTGCCAATAAAGAAATGCTCTGTACAGAAAAATGGAACAGCAGAAGCAACATTCACGAATGGTGCACCGCTCGATGCAATGGTTTGCGCCAGACTATCAGGCGAAGAAAGCTTCCATATGTAACTAAACTTCTCTCTTCAATCTCCAGTCATCATTTCCATAAATTCTGAAAGGATAAAAATATCGTAATCAGCGAAAACTTGTCCGTATCACCCTCAATTTTAGCATTAGAAGTGGTTAAATTGAGATAATTACCATCGAAATCTACGGTTCCACTTCCGTCGGTATCGATTTCGGCGATCATCTCGTCTAATTCATCTTCCGTCAATTTATCATCCAAGGCTCTTAGAATCTCCCTCAAATCAGAAACGTTAATATAACCATTCCCTGATTTATCGTACATCCTGAAGGCTTCTCTTAGTTCTTCTTGCATGGCTTCTGTATCTTCTTCTATGAGAAATCTAGCAGTTAATGCCAAGAATTCATCAAATTCTAACTCTCCACTTCCTGCAATGAAATATTTACAATGTAATCTTGAGATTTTTATTAATAATTCAATTAAAAACAACAAAAGTAATTACGAGGAATTTCCTACTCTATCAAGAAATAAACTCTAGAATTCCTAGAGGCCATTAGGAATACAAAACAAACCCTCGCTTTACGATCTCCCACTTCACTAATTACGAAGTTCAGTATTTAAATAACGTACAATCAAACCTGTCAACAAAGGCCAATTGCGAGAACAAAAAAAAAATAATCGCCGTATATCGGGGTGTCCGTTATTTGGAGGTTCATTTGGAGGTATATATTTGTTAGCCACTCCATTTTGATATTATATAGAACCTGGAATCGAATTGTTTCTTGAAAAATCCTCATAAAAGAACCATTGTATGGCAAGTTAAATCGTAATTTTCACTTACAGTGGTTAACTAATTTTTGGGCCACCCCGTATACAATAAGTTTTAAATAACCAGGCTTAAAATTTATGACTTGAAGTAAAAAAATATGCAATAAGGCATCAGGATACCGCACAGTTAATGGAATTAAACTGACACTAAAAATGCCTATTCTCTTTAAAAAGAACAAACAATAATTTGCCTTATCCTTGTGTAATATATTATTAACTAACCGGGCCCTGCAAAGGCCCGAAAAGTTAATAAATTTAACGAAAATATAATAATTTTTTGAGGCCCTATAAATAATATTTTGCACCTTCACCCCCTTACTCCATTACTGTTTCTGGTGTTTACAATTAAAGAAAGGATTATTTGTAATGAAACTTTATCCTTTTCTTTCTTTGTGTAGATCTTTGTTCTTGACAATTTATTATTCAAGTGTAAGCTGCCCAACACCTTTTAAACATGGTGGCATGTCATCAATTTTCCTTAAATTCCATTGTTTATATTTCCAAAATAAAGCTAAAGGGGTATTGTTTATTCTATAATTATTTTATTCTCTAAAACTTTTCATTTAACCTGTAAACAGGGCACACGAGAGACGAGTTGAGGCCTTGAACAGTCACAAATGTAGGGCCACAATCCTAAACACATTCATAAAAATGCACGATGATCACTTTCGTATACAGTTCTTGACACAAAATAGCGAAAGTTTGGAGGCCCTTCTCTATCTGAGACCCTACTTGAGACCCCATTGTACGTGGCCGTAAACTATAAAATGATAGATATTTGCATATTTTTAAGTATAAACTCTAAAATTTCTGGTTGTTTAAAGATCTCTGGCATCACTTGATCATTCGAAGATCGATCCTTTTAACAATTTATGTTATAATTTGCATACATATTTTAATGCAGCTGTAACTCTTTCATGTTGTTTTTAATGTAATAAAAGTAGATTATTTTGTATTTTTTTCTATATTTAAGCTCTTTCTGCTCTGCAAGCACTAAGAATAGTCTCTCACGCGCTCATGGATTCCTTGAGGTCCACAATGGGAGCAACCGCGTGGCATAACAACATATCTCGTACCAATTATCCACGAAAATCCCTGAAGATCCGGTCCTTGCATTCCTCAAAGAAGTAGAATTTTGCATGAAAACACTCCCAATCCCTTACAGCAGAGAGGGTTTTTACATAAGGCACTCTTTATCATAGGGTTTTTGCACGTAAACACTCATGATCCGCAAACTTGCTGTTCTAAATGATCCACGGACAGGATCATCAAGGATTTAGCATGAATAGTTCATAACTCTGATGGATCCTGATCTGTCCTCGAACTCAAATCCCTCATAGTTATGTAAAGATAAGGCCTACTGCTCTACGAAATCAGGGCGTCATACTAACTTTTCTAATTTAACTAATATAACTTTGAGCGACAAAACATGATTACCTACATATTTATTTATTAAAAAAACAATTAGAAAATGGTACTCACCATCTTGATCGATCTCAGCAATTAACGCTTTGAGATCCTTCTCTTCGAATGTCTGCCCAAGAGTACGAAGAATGGTGGAGACCATATTTGTATGAATGAAACCTTTCTTATCACGATCGAACATGTCAAATGCTTTTCTCAGCACTAAAATTTAAATAATTTGCATTAGTTTATAAATTAAAAAAGAAAAATTAACATACCGTATTGCAATTTTCAGTTAACTCATTAATAGTAGGATATTCACCATCAAGAACGACACTTAGGATTTGGTTTGGGTGCAACACATACATATGGGCAATCTGTACCTCTCGGGAGGACTTTTTATGAGAAAATGGCTCCTATTTAGGTGTAAAAAGACCCCAAAATCTTTACCCGTACCATCAGTGTTAAATGGCTTCATTCACTCCGTTAGTGTCGGCAGTAGAGAGCGATCGCGTGAGATCATAACTACGGAGCGAAACACATAGGCAATATGCCAAGTGGGAGTGCCTCATTGGAAGACTTTCTATGGGAAAGTGGCTCCTATTTAGGTGTTAGACACACGAATAAAACTCCGAAATCTTCACCCGTAACCAATGTTCAATGACTTATTCATTCGACTGTTGGAGGGCCGTGGAGAGCGATCATAAGAGGACCCAACTCCGGAGTTACAAAGATTTAAGCCATAAAACTTACAAAAAAAAAAAAAAAAGCAAAATTTCCACCAGTTTAAAATCAATAGATCAAGTCCGTGACTAAAACAAAGAATTCTTTCAACAGTTGTACTGAAAGGCCACTTTGTTGCAGCTCTTACTGTACATTGTCTAGCACTTTGTATGGAACTCGACACTCCATATTTTACGAGAGTTTTATCCATTAAATAATTAAAGGAACTAAATTCGGGAATATTCTAAAGAATCTCGAATCTAAAACCATACACCGAATAACCCATTTATCATTTTATAAGGTATATAAATAGTGCCAAAAGATCTTTTAACACCGTCTTCTATTTGCAGTGAGGACAGGTGAGCAGCTGTGTCAATCATTCGTGAATTTTTCTAACCTAAATCTGTCTTAACCTTCTTTTCGAAAAAAAAAAAGTTAAAAATTGGGCCAATTTTAGGACATTAAAAACAAGAATTAAATACGAATTTCTGATCCAGTTCGATCCGATTCTTCGGATCAAAGATTTTACTTTTCGTGTCCATTTGTAATGGCAAATTTTGGAATGGTTCCAACTTACTCATTACCAATCTCTCTCTCTCTCTCTCCGTCTTTTTCTGTTGGAAAGTTTTCAAGTGGACATTTTTTATGGACTTGAGAATTGCATTTTCCACCCACTCATACAAAATATTTGGGCTAAACATAGGAGCGTAACATCCATCACCATGGAAATGTCTGGAATTCGACCCCAACTGAGTTATTTTCTCTACTCGAATCTATCCGTTTTGGCGTCACTTTAAACCGAGAGATGCCAGAAACAACGTTACGTGTCAACAGGCTTACTAATTTCATAAATTTTTCGTATTCCCAATATGGAGTCTCATAACGTAACGCTTCACTTCGACTTTCTTCCTACCGCTATACCCACCAAATGCTGTACTTTCTTCAAATATATTGAATGGTTTCCAATTATAGAACGTAACAACTTGTAAAGCGTTACTTTATTCTAAAAAAAAACGCATTTTGCGGGTACGTTATATGCGAATTTTTCCTTTTTTTCGATGGAAGATGATTAACGCAACGCTTCTTAAGTGGTAGATCGCCATATCTGTGCTGTGTTACGTACTTCGGAGATGAATGACGGCTTTAACGAGATGCGATTGATGTTACGCTTGTATTTCATGCAATGTGATGCTCGTATTACGGAGTAAATGGTATTTTCTCGATGATTTTATTCGTTTTTTTCAATGTCTTATCGCGCTTTCAGTATAAGAGCTTGCAATGTGCTAAGAAAGGTACCACTAAGCTTTCAATATGCTGAGAAAGGGCTCATCACGCTTGCAATACGATAAGAAAGGAACTATCACGCTTGCAGTAAGCTAAGAAAATGTTCATCACGCTTCAATCTGCTGAGGAGGAGCTCATCGTGCTTACAAATATACTGAAAAAAGGGTTCGTTACGCTTCAATCTACTAAGAAAGGAACCGCTACGCTTGCAATATGCCAAGAAAGGGCTCATCATGTTAAAAAAACATTAAGAAAATAAGAAAACAACCTAATTTGTTCAATTAACAATAGAAATCTATTTGAAAACACCTTCTTTACTGATCTTTCACAAAATCATGGAATTTCAACGTACCCAAATGGTTAAGAGGAAAGAAAAAAATCCTGATAAAATTCTAATTTACATACAAATCGTATTTAATAAATAGAAGCTTAGATCAAAGAAGAATTTCCGAAGTTGCGTCACGACATTGGTGACACAAAGCGGAAGTTGTTACTCGACCTTGACCCCCCCACTCCGCGCCACTTCGCCATTTTGATAGAAATCCGATCTACAACCGAACGTGCTCCAACATTACCAAATTTGGTTTTGGATTTTAAATAATAATTAACACCGAAAAAATCGTAAATTGGAACCACGGAAACCCATTAGAACCGATGGAACTTAATGAAGAAGAATTTCACTTACTTTGCACCTGTTCTTTACTCAATTCTTCCACCTGAAATTGCATTTTTTTAAATAAAAAAAAATTTAATTTTCATTTTGTAATTTTTTTTCTTTTTCATTTAGAAAATTAGAATGATTTTTTGGTTCCTCGACTTACCATTTCTTTGAAGCTTTACTCTCAATGGACTCGTGGATCGAGACTAACGAGCGACAGTATGTGACTCGTCACTTTATGGATTTATCGTGACGCCCCCGCACTGGGAATTATGGGTAACCAGGAGTTCTTAAGTGAGGAAAATATCATCTTTGAGCTATATTTAGCGATCACGTGAGTGAATTGCATTATTTTTTTCCGATAAATTACAAAAGTTCGGCCATAGAAAATTGGGTTCCATGATTACAAATGGCAATTTTTTTCAATTACTCTTCTTCTTCACGAAGTCTAATTAATTGACAATGCTTGGAGGTGAATTTTCTTCATTAGAACAATTTTAGAGATGTTTAGAGCCACTTTAGAGCTTTTTTAGAACCATTTTAGGTGTTTAAAACCACTTTATAGCGTGTTTAGAGCCATTTTAAGGGTTTAGAGCTTTTTTTAGGACCATTTTAAAGGTTTACAGCTACTTCAGATCTTTTTAAGAACCATTTTAGGTGTTTAGAGCCACTTTAAAGTTTTTTTAGAACCATTTTAAGGGTTTAGAACCACTTTATAGGATGTTTAGAGCCATTTTTATATGGATTCATGCTAATTTGTAAAAATTTCTTAAGATAATTTAACAAAAATCCCACGCGAATTTCGAAAAAACGCAACTTTTGCTATAATAATTCGTTCTCTTCTTTTTTTAATTCGTTAACAGAAAATAGATTTCCTGGAGAATTTTCGTAGCAGTTTTCTAACGAGTCGTGTGCAAAATATGGCGGTGTTGTAGCTAAAATAATTTTTTTAAATTTAAATTTTTAAGAATTATCTTAAGTTTATTTAATAATTTTTAAAATTTTCACCCATTTCTTGAAAACACAAGGATTTAGAAGCAAGAAAAGACGAGTTTATACGGTTAAAACCATAAAGAACGTGAAAGGAGGATTTAAGCAGCTAAAACCATTTTTAAATCCGGAAAAGGAGTTTAAGCTGCTAAAACCCTTTATAAAACTCGTGGAAGAAGAGTTTAAGCAGCTAAAACCCTTTATAAGGCTCGTGAAAGAAGAGTTTAAGCAGCTAAAACCCTTTATAAGGTTCGTGGAAGAAGAGTTTAAGCAGCTAAAACCTTTTATAAGGCTCATGAAAGAAGTATATGTAAATGTCTCGACCTATTCACACAGTAATTCTGTCATAGTGGCCCGATTTTAAAAATCTTTGGCTCTGTACCAGGTGAATTTATTTCATTTTTTTAATAGTTTCTGCTATATAAAGCCATGAATGTAAACACGACTATACCATTTACATAGCTTAACGTTATGTGGATATCATTGCTAAGCCCTATAACTGTTGTTGAAATTATCCAGTTAGAAATGATGTAGGCGTTCGTTTATTACGCTTGAAATTTATGCGAATTTTAATATTTTTCTTTACTCGATACCCTTAAAATCTATTTATATGACTCGTAGAGCCTTATAAATAGATAAATAGATTTGGTTTGAAAGGGTTTGATCCATTTAAAGAAAGGTTTTGGTCCTCTAACTCTTTTATAAGGCCTATAAATGGATTGAATCCCTTAACACTTCTATGAGTCTTACAAAGGGCTTTGACTTAAACGTTTCTATAAGTCCCAATCAATGCTTAAGCCTCATAAAACTTTGTTTTTTTACCAGCCATATAAAGAGTTATGTTCCTTATTCTTCTTTCATAAACTCTATAAAGGGTTTGAGCCCTATAAACTTTTCTTCTACAAGCCTATAAAGAGCTTGTCTCTCTAAAATTTTTCTATTAGCTATGTAGAGTTTAAGCCTCTTAAAATCTAGATCTACAAAGCCCTGTAAATGATTTGATTCGATTAACCCTTCTTCTATGAGCCATATAAAGAATTTAATCCTTTAAATGTGTATTCTAGAAGCCTTACAAAGGATTTGAATATCTTAAACTCTGCTATAAGGTGCATCTTAAACTTGTTTTTAAAGCCATATATAAAGTTGATCTCTTAAATCCTTCTTCCATAATTTCTGTAAAAGGTTTAATCCCATAAACTCTTCTAAAAGCCTACAAAGGGTTCGTTTCTTCAAAGCCTTTCTATAAGACTTACCTCTTAAACTCTTTCCCTACGAGATTTAGCTCCTTATTCTAACATTCTTCTAATCTAAAATTTGATAAATCTTTCTAAAATTCCCAAAATGTTATCCATTTCTATCAACCCAACCCTCTTACAGGGTCACAGCTTTATTTTGCTAGAGAGCGTGTTGAAAACGGCACCTTCAATCAAGAGTATAGACTATTGGGAGTGGCATACCTGGCATCAGCTTTTCTCTCACCAACATCAATTGTGATTCGTCCTGGTGTAAATTTCACATCATGCATGTTGTGCCAATTGCAGATAGATGCATGTCATGGCAATGTAAAATGTGGTGTACTTGACTGCTGCATACCACATCAAATTGTTTGTATGCTTGTATGAAGATGTGTGTGGAAGACAATAGCAAACAGGATCGTATATGGAATTTACATGCTGCTTCTCGTCCTCCAGAATAAGTGCCGGATTTGCACATAAATTGCATCTTGGGGCCTTGCGTTATGAGTCGATAGCTTGGGGCCTCATATTTTTACATGTACCATTTAATAGAGAAGGGTTGCATTTGGTAAACCAACCCTGTTAAAGTAGTGTTTGTGAAAATAAGACATTGTCGTGTAACTGTAAAAGTTGCAGTAGAACAATGAGAGCATCAGAGCAATGCTTAAAAGATCCCTTTTGCACATGGCTAAGTGTTCAACTGAACACACGCCTTAAAGTATCTTAAAGAATGTAATTTCTTGTTTAGATTTTGTAATATTTATTGCTATTTTTTAAAAAATTAGGAAATATATCATAAATTTATTCATTCGTTTTCTTTATTGTAATTTTTAGAATAAAACTTCTATTTTGCATAAGTTACAATTGTTTGACAGCATTAAAAAATCCAGCAACGAGTTGCATAACTTTCCCGGCTATTATGAGATTTTGTTGTAAAAATCCTTTTATATTTTTAATTACTATAAAATGGTAAAAAGCTTGATTTTGAAGGTAGGAACAAGTTTTATAAGAAAAAAGTATAAATGTTAATAACGAGTAGAATCGTCATTACACAACTCTTTTATCTCCCGACCCCCTCGACCTTTAACCACCAAAATTTAATAGCATCAAAGCCCCTCATATACAAGCCACCAAGCCAAATTTCGTTACTTAATCTTTGCCCCATCCTGAGATACTAAGCAAAATAGATGCTAATAATATATAATAATTAATAACATAAATTCTTTAAAAATAAAATCTCATAATAGATGGCATTACAAGCAATTTTAACTTTTCTTTTTGCCGGGAAAGTTAGGCAACTCACTGCTGGATCTTTTTTAAAAATTATTTATAAATTCTTTATTTAACTATAAAAATATACAATTAAAATCAAAAAATAGTCTGGAAAAACATCTGAAAATGATAAAAAACGAAAATATAGCTATAAATATCTAAAATTAATATTAAAAATTGTAAATGCCACAAAATAAGACTCCCCTTGATTTATAAATGTCTAAAATTTAATAGAATGGATGCCCCATATACAGAAATAACCCTGCAAAGTTTCAAAAGCTTTGGTTCATCCATTCCTGATATATAAAGCAAAACAGAGGCCCTTGTGAACCCTCATGTACATGCACGCACAATTTTGTAAGGGTTTATTTTACATTTTTGGGCTTCTGAAGTGTCGAAAATAATGAGAAATGCAAACAATCAGTGGTCAAAATTTGACCGAACACAATACTTTCTCTATTTTATTTTGTAACAGCAGGGCAAGTAAGACCGCTTGCCGTGTAACAGGTATATATTTTCATTTATGTCTACCTGAGTTTATTTTGAAGATAGTCCTTCCATAAGTACTTAGCATAATGAAAGTTACACTAAAAGTTTTAGTTTTATTCTACGTGTAGTAAAAATGAAAAGGAAAGTGATAATGTGAATTTGATCAATGTTGCGAAAAAAATGTCTACGAAGGAATGTTGCAGTAAAAAAATGTTTATTTTTATTATATTTATTACACACATCTTGATAAATTCAGATTTACAATTTTATAATTAAAAATAACACTGACCATTATTGAATTGTGGGAGTCGGAGTCGGACTTGATTTTGACTTTTGAATTTCTTGTTCCACGTTGGTGATTTCTTCTTCTAACTCTGCACAAGCTCGTTCGATTTCATAATTTTTACTTACTAATCCTACCCAACTGTATAAAAATAAATTATTTTATTATCATTATAATAAAAACAATTTTATTCATCATATATCTAAATATACAGTAGAGCGTCGTTTATTCGAATCAATTGGGGACTGGGGTTGTTCGGATAACTTATTTTTTGGATAACCGATTATGTATGAAAAAATACATTGTTAATATCCCATGTAATTATTATATTAGTATATCCCAATAACAGTATATTAATATATATCCCACGTTGAAATTTTTCTCCGTTGCATGTCGCACGCGGTGAATTTTCGTCGATGTTAAGCCTAACAAAAATTTTTATAATAATAATCGTGGCTATTGTGTTGTTAAAAATTATTTCTTTATTTTGTATAAATGAAATAAATATAAAAACAAAAAAAATTATACTTTAAAAGTTAATCTAGTATAAAAAACGTTCGATTCAGCAGGACACAGTCCGACTGGAACGCTTTTGGTTAACTGACGTTTCGGTTGATTAGCTTTTGGATAAACGACGCTCTACTGTATGAAATTACTTGTCCTGACTGACTGAGTGATTGATTCATCATCACCCAGAGCAAATCGCCAAATCTAAAGAGGTGAAATTTTGTACACAGGGTACATCATGAAAACGCACACTAAGAAGGGATTTTTCAAAATTCCCCTGTGGGGGAGAGGGAGAGGATTAAGGCTTAACCTGAAGAATGGCTTCTACTGTACTATTTTAGATGCAATTTTTTTGTTTTCAACTATATTTAGTCTTTGTTGAGTACTTAGATGTATTAAATTGATAACATTTCAGACATTGCTGTAAATATTTTTATATATTTCGATTTTTTAACCAAATGTTCGAACCATTTTAAATTTGAATTTGTTATTGGATATTGGTTCGATTATAGAACAATTGTAAACATTCCAGAAAATTAATCAAATTGAAAATAGTTCATTTGATTCATGGCAATTCTCATCATTCTCAGCAGTAGGTGTTATATAACAGTTACTATGGTTGTTGAAATACTGAATATAAATGGGGTTTTCTTGCAAAATCCGCACAGGCAAAGTCACGGGTAACAGCTAGTTAATATATATAACTATTTTGGTCTCATTCACTTGCTTACCAATATATATATATATTTGAGTAGAAGCAAGCTTTTACTGAAAAATTAAATGGTGTAGTGGAAAGAGGATGTCTAGTATATTATAGAATTTCTTAGAAATGTCAACTATTTCATATTCTATGAGCATCAAACTGTAATACCCAATGCTCGTAGTGAACATTTTGACATGTAAACAATTTCAGACATATTTGCTTACTCGAAACCTTTTAATTTGTCTTAATAATGCAACGCAAAACACTATGGTTAGGTGATTAAAGGCAATCAGGAGATAAACTTCAAGTATTTAAATAATGAATAAAACATTTATATATATTTAGAATAATATAAAATAGCATAGAGGACAAGGAAGATCATGTTTACTATCTTCATGCTTTAATTGTCTTACTAAATCATCTTAAATAAGGCAGAGGTCTGTCTTTTCACATTAACTAACTTTAATTGAAATAATAAAGGGCAAAGACACGGAGGCGATTAAGCTTACAAGTATTTTTTACGACAATGTCATTGTCATGCAAAATTTAAAAAGAGTAAGAAAAAAATAACACCCCAAAAACATTGGCAAATGTCATAATAAAAGCAAATATAATTGAAAATTGCAATATCGGCAACATGCTCTAAAGTGAAGTGTCATAAAGTGAGATACAATTATGTTGGAGTCTAAAATTGCAGGTCAATAGTACAATGAAATTATTAAACTGCTGAACATGTTACTGAGATGGTTGAAATGAATAAACGTGTAAGCATAATGCTCCAAAAATCTGGTACAAAATGTAGAGTTTTAACTGCACTATTATGAGTCTGGTTATCAAATCCATTAAGCCAGCTCCACACATTCGGTATTCACTGAATACTGGCAACCATATAGCCAATACAAAGTAGTGTGAATGATTTACTTTGACAAATATTCAATGCTTTCCATTTCCCATTCCTTGTCGGTATATTGTGCCAAATCGAAGGGGAAAATAGACAATTATTTGTCTATTGACAAATACTGAATGGTGGAGTTGGCTTTAAGGACACAAAAGCAAATGAATAATATACAAAAAATTTTTATTTTACAATGATTTGTCATCTTTCTGATAAAATTAGTTTGAGATATATTTACAACGTAATATTCTACTGAATAAATTTAAATCTTAGTGAATATATTATATAAATTAGAACAAAATTATACCTTGCTTCTAAATTTCTTAGTTTTTCTCCTGCTTCTGTTTGCGTAGTTTTTCTCTGCCAATTAACTTCTTGAATATTTTTTCTGCAAAATAAAAAAACCTATTTATTAATAATCAAACATACATAAGTAAAGAAAAACAATATAATTTAATTTTTATGTTCTTTCTAGTAATAACATTGATTTGGAGGTTTGAAGAAAAAGGCACTAGGAATACACACAAATACCCACGCTGACAAAAATAATTTTGCACACACAGAAGCGGGCATTAAAATCAAACAGAACTTCACATATGCAACGATAATGAGGATGGAGATAACCAATTACCAATGTCATGACCAACATGCTGTTTAATTCGGAATAACAATGCAGTTTAGTGTTATATTTAGAATTGTGTAGCACATCCTCTTGCACCTATGTAAGCAGAGATGTATTATACTGTCTTGCAATAGATTTTTCCAAAAATTTTCTAATTGTCTCTCCAAAATCTGCATACTCATTGATGGCAAAATGCTATATCCCACACCACACATGTTCTATACAACTATATACTATCAATTTATTGCCTATATAAATTGATGACTGATTGGACCAAGAAAGTTTCAACATTACAGAGATGCTCCTGGAAAATCCATTTGTTTGGGTGGTGTTTATTATGCTGTAGATGTTAGTGAAAGGCAACACAATTCCAGATCTTGTGAATGTATCAATTAGTAGTTACTATCTCCCTGATCATTAGTAATGAAGACTAATTACAGGAGATAGTCCATGGAGATAGTCAATGGTACCAGTATGAGCTCAACAATGAAGTTGAGATTCCGATGCTCTCCAGTGCTTTTCCATACTCATATATAATGGTTATTTGTGCCCAAACAAAGCAAAAATTGTCATTAAAAATGACGTGTTGCCATTTCAAAACCATCTATGCTTGATGGGCACGACACAATTGTAAAAAAAGGTACCATAAATGCAGTCCTGTCTTTGCAAGTTGCCTTGCAATCATGCTAGAGGACACTCATTTCTCAACATCTTTGGATGGTGGGGAGAGTCTACATGTCTTGTTATTAAGTGCTCTTCTCTTGGGATAGTTTGCTTAAAGTGACCAGAACTTTTCTGGTGTCTCCTCTTGCAACCATTGCTGCCAGTACCTTCTCACAGTAAAGTCTGATCATTCGACATGGCTGCCAATTTAACAAAACTGACCATCAAACAGCAAGTACACTGAAAATACTGAATACAGTGGATATCTAAGAGTCTTTTTATATGGTACTTGGATAGCAAATTTAAAGCACTCTACTAATAATACTTGATTGTCATTCTCAGCTCAACTATAATTATTTACATACCTGTCTGAAATATAGATGACAGTCAATAGAATTAGCTGATTTTTGCAGTAATCAGATAATTCCATCTGTGTGCACTATTTCTGCATTCATTGTTATGAATTATGAATATCATTTCACAAGAGAAATAATTGGAGCTAGATCCATTATTTATGAAAAGGAGAACTAATACATTGGAACTGTCTACATGTTGAAATTAATTCTCAAAAACGTGAAATTTGACTCGATTATGAAGAGATAATTAAGAACTCGAATTAAGAGATAATTTTATTCAAATATGAATGAATAAAATCAAATGTTTCAAAAGATCTAACTTCAAAGTGTAAGGATAATGCTAGTGTATTGGAATTTCAATCATCATTCTATTTATATTGTATTTTCTGTTTTATCCAATTTATAATCTCACTCATCATAGAAAATCAATTTTGATAAATTATTTGATATTAACACAATGAACCTCTATAAAGATTAATTAAGTTCCAAATCAATTTCTTCTACACATTAATAATAATGAGTATTCAATTGGATTGATCTCTATACAAAGAAAAGATTTCGATTAATGAAATGCACCATTGTATGAATCTAAAAAAAAATTGTCAGAAAACTAAATAAAATGTAAAATAAAAGCAAGCAATTTCAATATTTCAATTCATTATAAAAAAGATTTATAAATAATATGGTATTTTCTTGATTCTATAATACACTTTTCACCCACTTTTGTGTGTCTGAAGTAGAGGTGTTGCGACTGCTGTCGTTGCAAGTAAACTACAAGTGTTATATATCAATAACAGATGCTTTAGCTATACTATTCATCAGTCACATCAGTTAAAATAAGCATTGCTAGTAATGAGCACTTAACAGAAGAAAATTTACTTTTTAACACTTAAATTGTCTTCAAGACAACATTATGATACAGCTTTAAAAGTTATTGAATATGTACAAGAGCACAGAAATGATGTTTCCAATGTCTTTCATGGCATTTGTATCATTTTTCTAAATTGTTTCTTTAAAAATCATGAAAAAATTATGTTAAATTCATCTTGGAATTGAAGAATATATTAGTAGCAATTTTACAAAATCCTTATTAATATTATCATTAGTTTTCAAATTAGATAATATATTCTCTTACCTTAATTCTTGTAATTGTTTTTGAGTCTGTTGCAACATTTTTACTAAAATTGAATTGTACATTTTCCATGCTTCGCATCCATATTTAGACATCAGTTCCAAGTTTGCAATTCTAATTTAAAAAAAAATAATTAAATATATAAATATCAACACACAAAAATCCAAAATATACACATTAAAATGCTTTAACAAAGTAAACGTATGAATTTATTGTACTTATTCTATAACCACAATCTTAAAATAACAACAAAAATATATTAAATAAATTTTACCTAGTCGCCTGGTGTTCTAATTGTGCCATTGAATTATCTACACATTCTGTCCAAGCAGCTATGTCTGTCATTTTACCAGATGGTGGCTGAGGTAATTCGTATCTAATAAATGAAATTTTTTATTAAATAAATTATGAAGTACTTCTAAATAATAATTATCAGAATAATTTATTGGCTTTTATGAAACAAAATAAAAATTGTAATGTTTTATCAGACGTTTAAGCATCCTAAAATTTAAGAAAAATAATCAAAAACAACAACTAGCCAATCTCTTTTGACTAATCTTAGTTTAAAACAATTCATTCGATGTATTAAAATCATGTATAACAGATAGGTTTTATTAAATGAGTTGCGCAAAAGCTAAAAAAGAAAATTCACAGATGTTACTACCAAGTTTTCTGAAATTACGCTAAGATAATGAATATCGTAACAATAAAAATTCAGAACAAAAACACATTTTAAAAATACAGTGTGATCCAAAAAAGACTTTACAACTTTGGAAGCACATAGAATTTTAATCGGAAGACTTACAGAATTAGTTGAGGTGTTAATTTATAATAAAACACATCAAGTTTGCCTTACATAGTGCAGAAATGTCTCATTGGATTGAGGAAGATGAGATATTCCTGAGCATTATTTTCAGTAATAAGTTAATATTTTGTCTCTTGTAAAGTGAACAATCACAACTATAAGATTTCGACATTAAAATTCTACAAAAAACTATGGTATATGTTTGTAACAGTCTAGTGTTTCGTGCTCTTAGCAAAGATAAAGTGCACGATCCTTTTTCTATAAGGAAACCATCAACGGTATTATGTATCTGGATATGCTAAAAAATTCCTCAAGTAAAATGATGACATAGGACATATGCAACTTTACAAAGATAATATAATACCTCACAACTGTACAGATCTCTGGGATTTCCTCAAATGTTTTCAAGGTTGGTGGATTGGTCAAGCAAGGAAGTCAGCATTGTCACCTCATTTTCCAAATTTAATATTTCCTGATTTGTTTATTCTCAGGTTTCTTTAAAGATCTAATGTTTATTCCACCAATGCCTGCATATCTTGCTAAACCCAAAATTCAAATCACTGCTGCAGTTACTGAAGTGACAACAGATATGCTGTTTCAAGTTTGATAAGAAGACAAATTAGGTAGAACGTCTGCTATATCACCAATGATACTCAGATTACACCAAAATAGCTGACTGAGATAAAACTTGGTGTATTTTGCTCTAAATTAATACAACAACTTATTCTGTAAGTCTTCTATTTAAAATTTTAGGCTTTCGACTTGAATTATGGACCATATCTGAAGTTGTTGAGATCCGAAAGAAATCGGTGGATTTCAACATCTTTAATCTCCACTGGAAGGTGAGAGAAGAACTTTTACCGACAAATTAATTCTACATAACAATAGTCATAACTACAATAAGAAGATTCTACTTGAATATATGTGAACACGCTTTGCAAACAATTTAAATACAAATGTAAATTGCATGAATTCAAACCACATTACATGATAAATCAAGTAGTTTTCAGTCAGGAAACTTGTGATTTGTTATTTAAATTCTTCAAGAATCTGGTATTCAAATGTTCAATATCCTATCTCAAAATCATCTTTAAAGTGTAATTATTTATGGATTTGTTGGTTACATAATGAATTGACCATATTAGATAAGACAATTGTGGTTAGCGAGTAGGTTAATTAAAAGAGAAACTTAATCATTTTACCGTTTCATGCTTAACATTTCCATCGGTTGACGAGCCTGAAGTCGTTCAAATTCATTTCTAATAATTTCAGTCTGAAATAAAACAGTAAATGTTAATTAAATAAAGAAATTTTATAAAAGTGTTTTAAAAAATATCTTACTTTTAAATAAAAAAAAAAAAACAATATTTACATATATAAGATTGAACTTTGTCCCTCACCCCTAGACTCCTAAACCCTCATTGTGCAAAAATTCAAAAAGGGAAATGGCAAATGATACTGATTTGTATCGGTGACTGATCCCGTGACGTGAACAAATGTAAACAGGGCAGTGCGGAGCTACACGCAGAGAACAGGATAAAAGGCGATACGTACATTCAGCCGTGTGGCGTAGCTCCCGACAGCGATCAGTGTAGGAACCGTATACCTTGGGTATTCTTTTTTGGCAGAGATTTGAATTGAATTGATTTGACTTTACTTATTTTGATTATATCTAATAGTAGAATTTATTTATTTATTTTGTTGTTTGGATTTTCGAATATTTGAAATATATACTAACATTTGTTATAATTAATCATTGTTTGTTATTTATTTCACTGCTGATCAATTGAATAAATATTTATTGTGAATTTATACTTATATGTGTTTTTGGTTCCCATAAAGTCCAGGCCTGGTACTCGAACCCTAACTTGTGTAACTCCACCTTTTGCGTCACGCGGTACGTTACAATTTGAAGGTCTAGCCCCAACACTGCTAATTATAAAGAACTTTGCTCCAAGAGAAAAAAATATGACAAGACTGGAGCAAGGTGCAAAAGTAGCAATTTTCTTAGCAAGTGTTTTTTCTAGGAAATATGTTAGTAGGAACACTGATTCACTAAGGAACAAAGCAGTCAGGCAGATTTATGCATTTTTACGTAAAGAATAATCTGGGACATGCTACATTGGCCAGCGGATCTGAGTCCACACAATGTTGATGTTACACCCAGCATAACTACAACTTTTTTTACTTTTCTCAGCACTGAAAAGATTGGATCTTCCTTCATTAACACAGATCCTGACTGTAGCAGGAAATCATCAGCCCTATGCAAAAAGTCACCATTTCTGCACGACTCAAATCTCTAGGTCTCGGACAAAGATAACAGTCAATCATTTTCTTGCAATAAATATTAATTCTCACCTCTGTACAATTATACTTCTAAATGAGACAGGTTAAACCTTATCACAGTTATAGACCATACCCGTAGAAGCAAAAGAGTCAAAGAAACCACACCTCTACACTCGACCCTTTCCAAGATACAGCCCCCCGAAATCAGCCTACTTCCAGTCAATCGGGAGTCACGTCACACCACCAAGATTATCGCATTTAACTATTTAGCCCACACGACTACGTTGACTTTGAGTATCCCACTCGACTTAGGGTACTCGAAACTTTACAGTTTTAGAGAGTATGGGGCTCGCCCCCATGCAGAACACCACTCAAGACTTGCTACACTCGCCTCGAACAATGCCAAAGAACAGAGAATAAGCAGCGTAAAGGTTCGTGCGTAAAAACTGACCTTCAGAAGCAAATATCTTGCGAAGGGTTGCACGTACAGGTATGGTTCCATTGACTTTTTTGCTCGTACAGGAGGGGTCTATAACTCTGGGATGGAAAACCTCTCATTCAGAGTTCACATCTTACCCTTACCTCAAAGGAATGCATATTTAAACCTGGTAAATGTTCTAAATAATTTTTCGTTGGTCTGTATCTTCTTGTTTCTTCCTCCACCATTGCAAGAACCTATAAACAGTCATAAAATAAGGCTATTTATTTAATATATCTCTAATTACCATCATCAAATTTAAATGTTTAGAAAAAACTTTCTTTCAGAAAAAAAAATGTCTAATGTCTTCATTTATTTATTAAATATTCGATTTATTATTTAAAACTTACAGCCTCTCGCACACCAGGTTCATCGTAACCTTGGTCGATGTACGGTAAAGCATCCACGACAACTTCTCCCGCCATTGTTAATTTTAATAAGTGTTGCCAGCTCAGGTTAATTTACAAAAAATAATAAATTTTTTTAAAAATATTAATTTCTCAATTTTAAACTTATCACAAATTTTAATACGTTATAAACACTATTAATAAATAAAAACTTTTGAAAGTATTCCAAAATATGAAGTATTAATAATGCACTATGGCGCGTTTTCATGTCAGGCAGATAAATAAGTAAGCCAATGACGTAGTTCATTTTATATGAAACGAACTACGTCATTGGCTTACTTACTTGCCCCATAGTGTCTGTATAACAATCGGATGGCCGTGTAGTTAAGGTTGATAGCTTTACTTCTCGGGGACCCGGGTTCGAATTCGATCAGATCGGAAAACTCAGGAAGTTTTTGTTGTTGTTTGTTAAGTTATGGCAACTCAACATTTGGGCGATGCCTTCCGGGAGGTCTTTTAAGGAAAACTAGCCACTATTTAGACGTTACAGACGTGGAGAAAATCGGGAAAATTCCACGTGGCCAACCCGTCCGAGCGAGGCGCGAACCCACGATCGAACTCCTAGTATTCAAGGTACGAAGACCGCTTAGCCACTGGCGGGCCCAAAAAGTTTTTGTTAATTAATGTTGCTATGAGCTGATGTGAAACGATGTAATGAACACAACCTATAACAGATGATTCCAAAACCTATAAAAAAGAAAATTTGCTAATAAAAATCTTTGTAAACTGATTTATAACAAGAGAAAAATAGAATGTAAAAGTATACAGTCGACCCCCCTATAACACGGGTTCTTATAGTTCGGATTCCTATATCACGGCGAAAATATTGCGACAGTATTCGTACAAACACGCTAAAAAACTCGTATAATTCGGTAAAACGTCATCGCCGACTCGTGTCGCGACAGGATTGGTCAAACCTAGACCAATAGCGGTTACTATTTCTAANAAACGAGCAGCGGATCTACTAAAAACCATTTATTATTTAACGTCCATAAAATTTATATTTATATTAATGATGTCTCCAAAGTTTTCAGCGAATTTTTCGCAAAAAAAAAAAAAAAAAAAAAAAAAATATTTTATCAGGAAGCACGCGAACGCCATTCGATGACAAACTCCACGACGAAAACAAGCTTAAGCAATGGCGTAGTCGAACGGTGCACGCTCGGTAAGTAATCCTACAATTATCTATTTATAGCATAGTTTATATGGATTGTTCCCAAAACATTATACGTGTTTTGGAAATGTTGAGTCGAATTAGTCTAAAATCTATTAATTTTATGGAAAAAACCTTTCAAACAGTCGTAGTCCGTAAACTGCATACGTGTCGGGCTGTGATTGGCTGGACTCGTAGAAAATGGATTCATAAAAACCGGAACGTATCCACCGTGTTATAGGGGGATCGACTGTACTGTACATACGGTAGAATCTGGTTATTATAATAACTGATAATGTTATCAATTATGTTATATGTTAAATGTATTATGTTAAATGTTATAGTTATCATAATCAATCTGTCCAAAACACTATATAAAATTAGTTAAAAATAATTCGCCTATTGTAATCAAACCGTATTGTTATCAGTTGAGATAATTACACTTGGGCTTTTAGGCTTTTAGGGCTTCGGGCATATAAATATATGCCCGAGGCCCTAAAAGTCTAAATTGTTCGCATGCAAAATTTCAAATTATTTAATCCGATCCTACTCGAGATACGTTAAACAATCTCCTATATCTCTCCACTCCGTCCACCTTTAACCACCAAAATTTGACAGCATCAATGTCTCTAATACAGAAACCTCCCTGCAAAATTTTAAAAATTTTCGACAAAAGACATAGGAGTTATTAAGCTTTAAAGAGGGCCCCCACATACACTAATATCCTTTCTTTACTTCACAGATGGGTGCATAGTTAGACACTGGGAATTTAGAATATTATATTTAAAAAAAATTAAGTCTTTCTTTTGAAAGATAAACGTAAAAAAAATGGCGTGATTAGTATTATTTAACATTTCGCAATCAATCCATTGTATTCTGCATTAACAATATAAAATTGATTGATACGAAGTAATGTTAATAAATAAAATAAATTACGTCAGATCTTGCTTTCTATTATAAAATTTACACATTTATTCTAATCTGGGTATTATTATATTTAAATTAAATAATACCTGCAATAAAACGAGCATCCTTTTTGAATAAAATATATGAAAATTTCAAATTAACAGATGCTCCAAGTGAAAATGAACACTTGAAGCATCTCTGAATGTCTTCAAAGAGGTGACTTCAGAAGGTTTTCTCGTTGGATTGTATTTAAATAATTACTTGAATCGAATTGTTAAGTATTTTGAAATAGTTTATGCACTTCTGAGGCCCTAAAAGTGCGAAGGCCTTTCAGATTACATGGTGTAAAAACCAATTACATTATAGAACAAATCAATAGGGTTTGAGATTGGGGCATTCATAAACATGAGAGCCTAACCATTAAGGAAAAATTCCTCACATTTATGAATTGGTTCAGTAATAATCATGTCCTTCCCCAAAGAGGTAGTAGGACCATTTAGATCATTTGATTCGGGGCTGATTTTATAAGTAAGCTAAACAAGCTGCAGCTTAGGGCCTCACGCTTTTACACGTATCATTATTTGGTGAAGGTGAAGGGTCTGTTATATAATACAGCTTAGGACCACAGGTCTTCCTGTCCTCCTGGACTCAGACCTGAAAAACTAATAGGTGGACCCTCCTCTTTCTTCCCATTAAGGCCATTATATTTAAATTGATCTTGAATTTGAGGCATTAAAAGCAACAGTATACGTCTATTTTGATCTGGGTTCAACACTCTTCGAAAGCAATAACAATACTTAAATAAAATCAATAAAATACGTTTATACTATTTTTGTATCATGTTTTTTTTATATAAATCATTAAATTTTGTAGGCTATTTGTGAAGGTTCAGCCTAAATAGAATTCCATTTAAGTGTTAGTTAGACACATTTTTCTTCTATATATTGTCTTCTAAGAAATTTTTCTTTTTCATATAAATTTATATTTCAGGTTTCCCGAACAAAAAAACATTAATCAATAAATTCATTATAATAGTATTTTCACCGTCTTTTGAGCAAAAATTAATTTTAATTATCTAAAAAAAATCACCTGTAATTAAAAAACAAAATTCTTTCGCATTAAATTGAAGAGCAAGATTATTTAAGATGAAAGAAAAAAGAGCAGGATCATTTAGGATAAACGGAGGGAAGGCAAGATCATTTAAGATGAAAGGAAGAAGGGAAAGATCATTTAGGATGAAAGAAAAAAGGAGAGGATCATTTAGAACAAAATGGAGAAGGAGAGGATCATTTAGAATGAAAGGAACAAGAGCAGCATCATTTAGGATGAAAGAAAAAAGGAGAGAATCATTTAGAACGCAATGGAAAAGTAGACGATCATTTAGGATAAACGGAAGGAAGACAAGATCATTTAAAATGAAAGGAAGAAGGGCAGGATCGCTTAGGATGAAAGGAAGAAGAGCAGTATCATTTAGGATGAAAGGAAGAAGGGCAGGATTATTTAGAACAAAAAAGAAAAGAAGAATAGGGTAAAGGTCACCTACAATAAGAAGGAGAAGGAAGACGGAATCAATCAGAACGCAAAACAGGACGATCGGAGCCATATGGCTCCAAACAACCGAATGACTTCGTCCGCCAGGCGTCGCCACCGCAAATTGCCGGCTAGTATAGTAATTGGAGTAAGTGTCGCCGAAGTCGACTTCACCCCTGCCGTCGACTGAATTGTTTTCCAATGTGTTTCCCTTCCTGGCAACCCGATCATTAGTTTGTTTCGCTCCCAATTCAACTTACTCCAACAGCAAACATGGTGAGTTGTCCATTTCCTATATTCCACACCCAAACCACTTTCACTCAACCACTTTCATCCCTTTTCTCATCTGTTGCGCTCTCGAATTTCTCCATTCGAAACCGACTTAATCACTTAAATCGATAGAATAATTAATACTTAAGAAACTCAACTCCGCGTAACGTTAATTTTCACACTGTAAAAAAATTTTGATATATTTTTTTTTTACAAAGAAAACTCGAATCTGGTTCCACGAAGAGTTTTCAGTCTTCTCCGACATTAAATTGATTTTTTTACACGCGAAAACTCAAACAATTTCTCATTTACTTTGGCTTTCTCCGTGTTAAGTCGATAACTTTTCCTTGTATTGACTGATCGACAAACTGTTAACTTGTTATATTTTGTTTACGTACAGCGACTTTCAGTCGCCTGCACTTTGATTTTTCGTTGGTTCTGTTGAAAATAGCTAAGGAATAATACCATTTTTATGGTCTTCTTCCCTACAAAAAACATGCGTGTGGGCAGTTATATAACTTAGAAGTTAGTTCTATTGACCTTTTCGAACTCGATGTTTGACAAAGTGCCATTAAATCATCAGTCACGCCAATTTCGATCGTGGTGTTATCGGGTTTAATGTAACTTTTAACAGGTTATACGATGATTGTACGTCGAGTACGGGTTAAATTAATGGTGAGAACATTCATTGATAGTGATAAAGAATAAGTTTATTCTCACACACTCCACAAGACAGGAGAATGGGTGTGTTATTTGTGGTACTAAATCTGTTCGTATACAGTAATGTGGAGTACTGTGGTATTACCTGTATAGTCTAGTGTACTATATACGAGTGTATAGGCTATTTGGATGGTATACAGGCTACTTTGGTGTATTATTTACATTATATTACCTCTATAGACTAGTGTGGTGTATTGTTGGATGGTATATCTCTTCAGGCTAGTGTGATTTAATGTATACACGTCTATAGGCTAATATGATGTATTAATTACATTTTATACGTGCCTATTGTGATTATTTGGTGTGTGATGTTGGATAGTGTGGAGAACATCCAATGCCCATCTTATTAGTGTGGTGTGGAGCACCATCCTACAGTGTTCCAATCCTTCCTACGGAGTTAATACTTTTCTGGTATTACTTGTTGATTTAAAGTTTGGTAATAAATAAAGTGTTATCATCCGTACGATGCGATGCGTCATTGAGTGCAATACGACAAAGTTCGTAGAGAGTTTGTCTCCTTCGTTTGCCTTGAACTATTTTGGTGATAGATGGGGGTGGAAGGCGATGGGACCAAAATAGATTTTAGAGGTAACGGAATCGCCGCTTTTCTACAAAAAGACAACATTTAAAAACATCAAATGAGATGATGTAAGATTTCGTTGAAAAAAGTTCCGACATCATCCAACTCTATTCTTGTACGGAGCCTTTAAGTTCGAGGAATTAAATCGTTTACTTTAAATAAATAAATAAATATTTTAATTTATTTTATCGTTAAATTCACTCTAAATGAGTCAAATTTTCCTTTTTTTCTTATTATATTCCCTCGTTTTTTTCCAATCTTTTCCATCGTAATTTTGGGAAGAATTATAGAAAAACCTGTGTAAACCGGACTAAAAATTTAAAGTTTCTAAGGAAAATTATCATTTCAGGATCCATCCTAATGAATATCCTATTATCCTGATGAATGGAAAATTATATAATGCAAGCTGTCGTGAACCAGGCGAATATCATGATGAATATCATTATCTCGATATCCATCAAGACACCAGGAATATCAGAATATTCTGTTTATAAAAATAATCCTGGTATCCTTAAAGATATTAGGATATTAAAATCCATTAGAGTTCCTGATAAATATTAGCAATTTATCAGGAAAACTAAACATATACTGACGAATCCTGAATATCCTAACGTCTTGTTAGATATCAGGATAATGATATCAAGAAGATATTTATCAGGATCAGGGTATATCAAAGCCATTTAAATGTTTACCTGCTGTTAGAACCTGTATTTATTAAAAACAATTAAAAATTTTTTGCTGATAATTATATATTTAGTTGCTAATTTTTATACAATTTTTAACGAATCATTCAATAAATTTACTAATCAATATATCTCGACTTAACGAGCATCTGTAAACAGAGGCCATTTGCAAATAAAAATGGACTCTGTTTAGAGATTAGATTGTATATTCATGGAAATCTATGAAAACAAAAATAACCTGCAAACAGTGGATCACCTCCGAATAACGGCCATTTTTCGTGTTCCTTTCAGCGGCCGTTGTTCAGAGGTTTGAACTAATTAAGTCTTGAAGTTGGAAAAGCTACTGTATAAACTACTACATTTCAAGAGCCCACAACACCCTTGAAGTGTGATGGATTCTTGAAGTGTTCTTGCAGTGCTTTCAGAGCAATGCTACAAGAGCAATGCTACAAACATGAGGAAGAGTTCAAGCTTACATTGTTGCATCCTACGTTCTCTTTGGCTATATTAAGTAAAAAATTTAATAGTGAAAGTTATTAATCTTGTTTTTGTAGATCTACTTTCATTTGCCTCTTGCACCCTATTGCATTGCGGAATGGACAGACTGTAACAATGTTTTAATCCTTTGCAACAGTCTGTCCATTCCTTTGCAACAGTCTGTCCATTCCGCAATGCAATAGGGTGCAAGAGGCAAAGTAGAGGGTAAAGTAGAGGGTAAACGTAGGAAAAGTAGAGGGTAGTTCAGGGAACGGAACATCTCGTGGATTCGCACGTGGAGTTTTTCAAGTTTTCTTCACGTTAGTAACACATCTAAACAGGGGCCAGTTTTTCGTAGAAAGTCCTCCTCTTTCGGCAAATACAGCTGGAAACCCAGTTGTGTCAAACAATTTTCCTGATGCGATTCATTTATTTGATTCTTGGCCTTCCATGTGATCTGGGTTCTGAATCCTTTGGGACTTTGGATCCTCCAAGTATTTCCTGTGGCATTCTACTTACGTGTTTCAATGAGAAACTAAAGAAAACATTAAATTACCGTCGACCCTCGGAATAATGGCAGAAACGTTGTATCCGAAGAGATCATAGTCAACTTTATATGAGGTCTTTGATAAGAGACATAGCTTATAATACGAAGGAACAACACACCGATTAAAGTGAATGAGATGAGGAGTAAGCACTGCAATAGAGAGGCAGGAGTGATAAGATATGTAAATNGAATGGACAGACTGTAACAATGTTTTAATCCTTTGCAACAGTCTGTCCATTCCGCAATGCAATAGGGTGCAAGAGGCAAAGTACAGGGTAAAGTAGAGGGTAAACGTAGGAAAAGTAGAGGGTAGTTCAGGGAACGGAACATCTCGTGGATTCGCACGTGTTTTTCAGGTTTTCTTCATGTTAGTAACACATCTAAACAGGGGCCAGTTTTCCGTAGGAAGTCCTCCCCTTTCGTCAAATACAGCTGGAACTCCAAGTTGTGTCAAACAATTTTCCTGATGCGATTCATTTATTTGATTCTTGGCCTTCCATCTGATCTGGATTCTGAATCCATTGGGACTTTGGATCCTCCAAGTATTTTCTGTGGCATTCTACTTACGTGTCTCAAAGAGAAACTAAAGAAAACATTAAATTACCGTCGAACCTCGGAATAATGGCAAAAACGTTGTATCCGAAGAGATCATAGTCAACTTTATATGAGGTCTTTGATAAGAGACACAGCTTATAATACGAAGGAACAACACACCGATTAAAGTGAATGAGATGAGGAGTAAGCACTGCAATAGAGAGGCAGGAGTGATAAGATATGTAAATACGAAAGAAACAACAAGTTCTAGGATGGAGTGGGACAAACAGAGGGGTGGGGAACAACTAATGTTGTGGGCTCACTAAGCCACAATCTAATATTCTTAATAAAATCTTACACACAATCGAAAAGCATGAAAAGATTCAGGTCTATGTTACCGAAACACGTAAAATTTAATCGACAGGCAGAACACTAAAGCAAACAGAACTCTTTTATTATATTCAAGTTGTCAGTCTACAATAATTACTTTGAAGTACGTTCGTATCATGTGCTTCATCATATCTTCCATCAAGGTCAATTGATGATACATGCAACTCGCTTAGAAAATAGGACAATCGATACAGATCGTTCGTTTGTTTATAAAATTCAACAAGGTATAAGGGTCAAACTATGTATTTTTCCATTTTCTGTATTATTAGTGTTCCATTTTCTATAAATTTAAAGAAAAAAAAGTCGAATATCGATCTGAAAACGTACACGAAAATCCCATTGAACTTTCACGTTTGTGGTGTCAAAATGGTGGCTTTTTTTTTTCTTTGCATGTATTTCGATTGTATGACTCGTGTGCAACACTAACTATCCTTATAGGATAAAATGAAAGTTGTATGTCTATAAATAGTAGAGACATAAACAAACTAGATCATAATTACTTGCCTAAATCATCTGTTTAAAGTGAAGTTATCAAGTTTCAGATGGAGTGAATATCCTTGTATTTAAAAATTGGCATGATCCTAAGGTTTAATAATTAATTTTAAAGTTTAAAATTAATATTTTAGTGGTTATAGAAGTCACGATTTGAGGGTCTTCAAAACGATCGTTAAAGCTTTCAACTTTACGACATGGGCGTTATTTGGGTGTGAAAATCGTAGGAAAATAGTAGGATTTTTATTTTGTTTTATGCCTATCATCACTATCATAAAGATCTGATTCAGAAACAACACACATCATATACCTACGTATGCAAAACTTTCCTCTGAAAGAACTTCTTTCTTTCTTATTATTATTATTATTATATTCTTCTACTCTTCAAGCACCTGTAGATTTTTGCTCCATTAAATAAAGAAGAATCCTCTTAGGTGAGTGACCTAAATATGTCATTTTATCTTTCGTAAGTGTGACTAGAAATCTCATCAAGTCGTGTTTAACGAATACGTGCTTGTTTATGAAAGCTGAAAGTCAAAACACACGAAAGTATTATAAATCTTTACAAGTAGAAGGGCCTTAAAAAGTAGTTTATGTGTATAAATTACACTGGTGTGTGTGTGTGTATATATATATATACAAGAATGCCGAAATGTTATCTGTCATTCTTATCGCTGGAAAATTTCGGAATTTGATTCGAATGGAGTTCAAATTAATGGAATTTTTTACCATTATTTTTCATACTGTACGCTGCTACCATCTATGAATTCTCGTACAAACCATTATAAAAATATAATCGTACAGTACAGTACACCCTGTCATCTTCTAATCTTAATAAATCAATACGTCGGCATAAAAATCTAGTGATACAACTTTGAATAATTATACTTTTACCTTGTCCGGTTTAAGCTCTTTTTCTTGTTTTATTATTGTTATTTTTTTTATTTTTAAATTAATTTTTAAGTTTTTTTTATCGAAATTTTATCAGTTAAACTCGTTTCTATTTACGTAAAGTTAATAAAAACTTGCCTACTAGAATGCTTATTAAAATATATTCCAGTGAAATAATGAATTACTTCCTCTAATATCGATNACTCTTTATACCAAAATTAATTTTAAGTATGATTAAAATATTCATTAAAATGTATATATTTATATAATTTACAATTGAGATTGTAAGATTAAATGCCTACAGATTGATGGAATAAGGCACGCAACACATGGGGTGGTGATGGTACCTCTCTGGGTGCAGTGGAGCATTATAGCTTTATAGGACACATACAAATTTGAATTAGGGATCAATGTTGATTTTTAGGGGGAAAATATTATCTTAAAAGGTTGGTTTTGGGTCTACTGCTTGTGGGTATTCCAGCGGCACTTTCCCTTTTTGCCCATAGGATAACGCGCCTCTGTCTGGGTGTACTGTACTTTCTATGGGAAATTGGCCCATCTATTTAGGAGCAAGACACGTGAAGAAAATGTGGAAAACTTCACACGTGAGCAGCTCGTTGGGAGGTGCGAACCCACGACCAGTGTTCAATGTCTACACTTTACTATTCACTAATTAAACAGCAAACCCCCGCTTTACGACCGATCATTCGCTTTATAACCGGTATAATATTTGACTGTTATAACTGTATAAAGTACCGTATTTTTATTTTAGTTATTGTCTTTTCTAATAACGTACAGTACGTAAGTTATGACATTGAGTTTGTAGAAAATGACGGTTCGCATTACGACGGTTAAAGATCCTAAAACGGAGATTGTATTTTCGTATAGATTAATAAAGAATTATGTTTAATTACCAACTAGATTGAGTATTTTAACTCGGAAATTGTATTCTATATTTTAATTTTTAGAAATATATAGTTATTTTAATTATTTTATAAACATTAGATTCGTTCGTCGTAAAGCGAGCCATCATTTTCCATTAGTTTAGCTTAGTAAATTGAGATTACGTTCTCGGAAATAAAGCATTTTGTGAATTAATATAGGAAGAGAAATTAAAGTTGAGGAAGAAGATGAGTGTTTTTTCCCTGGAAATTATTATAAATTTCTATTATATATGCTATTTTTGTGAGTTTATAAAGCAAAATATTGCTTGCATAATTGTTATATTTATAGCATATTTTATTGCCAATAAATAATCATATTTTGACAACATTTTGGCAATGTCTTTGCACATGTAAGCTGTTTTGTTAAATAATTTACTTTTAACAAAAATAAATTATTATTTTTTCAACTTATTTTTTTAAAAATTTAATTAAAATATTATTGTATTAATATAAAATATTCATACAAATACTGTCACAAATTCAAGGATCCTTAATTAATTATCTTATCAGCAATATTATAAACTTGTTATGAAGATGAAACATTTCATCTTCCTATCTTATCATATGGCATTTGATAAGTTATTGATGATATTCTTCAGTTTTTCTTCCATAAACTGTAAGAGAAAATTAGATATAACATGAGATATTCCTTATATCTTAGGAAAAAAACAATGGTGATATTTCCTGTTATACTTAGAAAAGGTAATGAGAGCTCCTCTTAGATGGGGTGATGATATTTCTCATTATAACTTGGAGAAAGTGATGATATCATTACACAATAGAGAGATAATGGTACTTCTTCTTACACCTTAGAGATGTGATACTCAGAGCTAGATTTATGTATAAGCTGAATAAGATGTAGCTTAGTACCTCATTCTATTCTCAGAGATATTTTACATTACCTATTATTATTTGGTGTAGGAGGAAGGATCTCTTGTATTCTGCAGATACAGGTAGTGATACTTCTCCTAAAGGTTTGGAGGGAGATGCTATTTTTTCTTATATCCTATGAGGAAATGATTTATATACAAATTTAAAATGTGACTTGTAATTTATGTGTACCATTTACATAATATATTTAGTAAAAATGATGATACTTTCCTTCATATCTTGAAGAGGAGTGATGATATTTCTTTTTATGCTTTGTAGCATTTGAGATTTTTCAAAATTAAATAAGTAAGTCTACTTCAAAAGTAAATATATTATTAGTTAATTATATATATTATTATTTTTCAATCAGAACAAGTATAGATGCTTAGAAACATTGCATAAATACTGTTTATACAATGTTTCTCTATACATAAAGTAGCATATATGACTTACTAATGAAGATGCGGATATAAAATAACAATATTCGGGTTAAAATACTTTAAAAATATTAATTTTAATTCAGAAAAATGAAGCGTAATCACCGAATTTCTTCTCTGCCATTTCTACAAGTGGCATTGAGTGTTATATTTATGTCTTTGTTTTATAAGAGAGATATGGTTTAGTTTAGTTGTTTGCATACTTTATTTTATTAGGAAATTTATGTTTATTTTAAGAATGATTCACTTAGTTTTATTTTTCATTTGTAAAAACAAATATTTTCTCTAAAAAGAATCTAATTGTAAACAGAGTTATCTGTTTACTGGTGTTAAAAATAATTATGATCAATTGTTTGTTGAGTAAAGACTGTATAAATTCACAGCATTAAATTACATTATGAAAACTTTAATGTAATTTCATGTAAATATACATTAAGAAGCTTTTTACCTGTATTATTAATTTTACAAAAAAGTAGTAACTAGAACCAATGAATCAGTCTTATTGTACTCATAGATAAGACTTCAGCTGCATTTCTATGTTGGTAGTATTGCATTTACATTATGCTACGTTGTTTATATTGACTATTTTCTCTTTATTTATACGTTGACATAACACGAAGACGATTTGCCTTTCGAAAGGGGTTTTTTCCCGCGAGAAACTGGCCATTATTTAGGCATTAGACCACTCATTGATGGGCTCTTAACTGGAGTTAACCGAATGAATAATACCGCTAGACACTAGTAATTGGTCGCACTAACCTACCTGGAGTTTTCTTGGTTTTTTTTCACGTGTAAATAAGTGCCAGTTTCCCATAGAAAGTCCTTCCGGGAGCATCCTCCTCTTGGCAGATTGCCCATAGGTTGAGTTGTCTGAATCCATCAATCTAATGCAATGTAATCGACCTAACTATAGAAACATCGGATCAATCAATGTATACAAATCAAATTATTAAAGGATTGACGCTTTCTGGGGATGATAACAGACCTTCTCCATAGATCAAAGAAGCTCGAATCATCGTAATGATCGAGTTTATTTCATGTACGGAAGATTACCCTCATAGTATATGAGGCCTATAAGTTGATCTATTGAAAGAACCTGTAATTATAAAGCTGAGAGTTCTTCTGTCTTTCGTTAATTTGAAAATTGCAGCCCTGTAATTATAGATTCTTTAATATACAGAAGGGTATGGAAAGTTAAAAACCTCAGAATTTCAGGCTCCCGAATGCCTTATTTCACGATGGAAAAAGCCTGTGGGCTAAATGTTATTAATTTAATTCATTTCTTATAAGTATTTTTTGATTAAAATCGCTTTAAAAATAAGCTTTATCAATTCTCTAAAACCCCGTTTTAACGTAAGCTTCTCTTTTCGGGAATTGAAATCAATGAACTCTAGTGACAAGTGATAAGAAAGATGTGAATAACTGCCAAGAATTAATCCAACTTCCCAAAATAATATTACTCTTTTTCTTTAAAAAAAAAGAGAAGAAAAATGCATAATTACCTTTCTTCTTAAGCTTAAACATGGATATATTTTTTTTTTTAAATAAAGAAATTGCAAATAGTTTTTAACGCGAATTTCCAAGAAATTGAACAATTAATTGCAATTATCGAGCCAAATTTAATATATTTTTACCACTAGAAACAGTAAGGAAGTTAAAATTCTAGAATAGTAACAAACAATTTCATGTAAATTCAAAGAATTTCTATATATAATGTAATTATGAGGCCATTCACCCTTACGTGAGGAATTTATCACTCCTCCTCCTCCTCCACAAGAGTACTGATAATATCTTTAAGATTTTTCTGTTATATCTATAGAGATCCTTCTGTTTTTGTATATATATTAATAAAAAAGCCTCTTCTATATATTAATAAAAAGGCCTCGTTCTTCATCACCCAATGTGGGCCTACGAAAGGTCCGAAAAAGGCTCTTAGTTCCTCCTCTTCTTCCAGTTTTTTCTAATTTTTAACCTTTTACCTTTAGGATTTTACGTCCCGCGGGCCTTTTTATGCCTTCGTGGTTCATTAAAATAGAAAATTTTATGTAATTTAATATAATTTAAGTGTTAAAACTATTGAATTTTAAATTACAGTAAAAACCTGCGTAAAGCGATTTCCGTTTTGAGGAGGTTTTACTGTATAATCTTTAATATTTAAAAGATATTTTAAAGATTATTAAGCAATGTTATTCATTATTTGTTTTTTCTTTTTCTTTGTACAGACGGAATACGGTCTGACAGAAGAGCAAGTAGCTGGTAAGTAAGCTTGCAAATGTTATAGAAAAATAAAAAGAATGGAGGAGGAACATCGTAATTTCTTGGCTTCGGTCAATAGCAGCGAAACAGATGGCCGAGATTGTTCTAATAACGCTTTTTACTGTCTCTTCTTCTAACCCAGGAAATGGTAAATTTAGCCCAAATGTAATAACCATCAAGAACTGGCATGCTGACAGTTGCCAATCGAGCGAAACGCGATATTTCCTAGAATATACTGTACTTGCAATGCTTTGCAACCCCCCTAAAATTCTTTTATCTATTAAAATGGAAAGATTTTCTTGTTAATTACGTTGTAGGAAGCCAAAAAATTGCCATAAAAAAATCAGTAATTGATTACTTATTTGGATTGCCATCTTGGATCCTCTGAGAGAACCAATGGTTTAAATCTCGTTTTAATGCTAATTTTTTTTTTTTTAAAATTAGCATTTTAAAATTTATAATTACAGTTGACCCCCTATAATACTGTTGATTATTCCGTTTTATATGAATTCCATGTTGTACGAGTCACTTAGATTTTACAAATACGTGTGCCGGGCTGTGAACGGCTTACGTATTTGTAAAATCTAAGTGACTCGTACAATATGGAATTCATATAAAACGGAATAATCAACAGTATTATAGGGGGGTCGACTGTACTGTACATCATTCGTTTAATTACCATATTTATGGGAATTAAATTAGCTTGTTTGTGATAATTTTGTTAGGATATTTATGCTAATTGTTTTATGGTTTCTATCAACATTATGCTAGTTTCAATGATTTAATAGTGCAGTAAAACCTGTATAAACAGGAATCGTTCCGTATTGAAGAATTTTTTTTGCAGATTTCCGTCTTATACAGGTTCCGTTTTGGACAGGTTTTACTGTATTATACTTCTGTTAGGGACTCTCTCCTTAAATTATGTGGGTGGATGGTTACGCAGGTTATTGTTACATTGCAAGGGAGTGGTACTAGGGCCTCGAACACAAAGATTCGCTTTTGTTTCCGAAGTGCTGCATAGTGCATCGTACTGTCTTTGCTTTGTAAGTTATTCTGTCTTTCAAAAATGGTACAGTACGGTACAGACTCATGTACAGTGTTGACTTTATATATTTATTGTTAATGTATTTTATGATTTTCTTCTTATAAAGTTTATGCTTTTGATCGTCCAATTGATTTTTGCTGAGGCTCCCATTATTGGTCTTGCTAATAAAAACCAAGGAACACTGATAGTTTGTTTAGGGTTCAAGCGTTACCCAGTTTTCTTCACGTATCTAACACTTAAACAAGTGTCCTAGTGGGCCTGGCTGAACCCCCGAACGGTCCGAAAAAGGCTCTTAGTTCCTCCTCTTCTTCCAGTTTTTTCTAATTTTTAACCTTTTACCTTTAGGATTTTACGTCCCGCGGGCCTTTTTATGCCTTCGTGGTTCATTAAAATAGAAAATTTTATGTAATTTAATATAATTTAAGTGTTAAAACTATTGAATTTTAAATTACAGTAAAAACCTGCGTAAAGCGATTTCCGTTTTGAGGAGGTTTTACTGTATAATCTTTAATATTTAAAAGATATTTTAAAGATTATTAAGCAATGTTATTCATTATTTTTTTTTTCTTTTTCTTTGTACAGACGGAATACGGTCTGACAGAAGAGCAAGTAGCTGGTAAGTAAGCTTGCAAATGTTATAGAAAAATAAAAAGAATGGAGGAGGAACATCGTAATTTCTTGGCTTCGGTCAATAGCAGCGAAACAGATGGCCGAGATTGTTCTAATAACGCTTTTTACTGTCTCTTCTTCTAACCCAGGAAATGGTAAATTTAGCCCAAATGTAATAACCATCAAGAACTGGCATGCTGACAGTTGCCAATCGAGCGAAACGCGATATTTCCTAGAATATACTGTACTTGCAATGCTTTGCAACCCCCCTAAAATTCTTTTATCTATTAAAATGGAAAGATTTTCTTGTTAATTACGTTGTAGGAAGCCAAAAAATTGCCATAAAAAAATCAGTAATTGATTACTTATTTGGATTGCCATCTTGGATCCTCTGAGAGAACCAATGGTTTAAATCTCGTTTTAATGCTAATTTTTTTTTTTTTAAAATTAGCATTTTAAAATTTATAATTACAGTTGACCCCCTATAATACTGTTGATTATTCCGTTTTATATGAATTCCATGTTGTACGAGTCACTTAGATTTTACAAATACGTGTGCCGGGCTGTGAACGGCTTACGTATTTGTAAAATCTAAGTGACTCGTACAATATGGAATTCATATAAAACGGAATAATCAACAGTATTATAGGGGGGTCGACTGTACTGTACATCATTCGTTTAATTACCATATTTATGGGAATTAAATTAGCTTGTTTGTGATAATTTTGTTAGGATATTTATGCTAATTGTTTTATGGTTTCTATCAACATTATGCTAGTTTCAATGATTTAATAGTGCAGTAAAACCTGTATAAACAGGAATCGTTCCGTATTGAAGAATTTTTTTTGCAGATTTCCGTCTTATACAGGTTCCGTTTTGGACAGGTTTTACTGTATTATACTTCTGTTAGGGACTCTCTCCTTAAATTATGTGGGTGGATGGTTACGCAGGTTATTGTTACATTGCAAGGGAGTGGTACTAGGGCCTCGAACACAAAGATTCGCTTTCGTTTCCGAAGTGCTGCATAGTGAACCATACTGTCTTTGCTTTGTAAGTTATTCTGTCTTTCAAAAATGGTACAGTACGGTACAGACTCATGTACAGTGTTGACTTTATATATTTATTGTTAATGTATTTTATGATTTTCTTCTTATAAAGTTTATGCTTTTGATCGTCCAATTGATTTTTGCTGAGGCTCCCATTATTGGTCTTGCTAATAAAAACCAAGGAACACTGATAGTTTGTTTAGGGTTCAAGCGTTACCCAGTTTTCTTCACGTATCTAACACTTAAACAAGTGTCCTAGTGGGCCTGGCTGAACCATAGAAGAACCTCTAAGTGACCATAGGGTGGAGAGATTTATAAAAATGGTCTTTAAGGAAACCTAAACAAGTGCCAAGCTTTCTGTATCATGTGTCTAACACATAAATAGTACTAGTCTTATAAAAAGTTCTATCTGGAGGCAGATTGCCCTTATGTTTTGTTGCCTTATTCCATCAAATCAAATCATTTCTATTGAGGAGGCATCAAGAATTTTGACTTGGGATTCATGGAGAAGAAATAAAGAAGTGACATTAAACTTAAGTAATGTTATTTGTCTCAATTGCATACATTCAGCTCCAACCCTAGTAATGTTAATATTTTAAATTTAGATGATTTAGTGATAAAGCACAAAAAATATTGATCATTCTCTAATGACTTTCTGAAGAGACTGAATTGTTAAATATAGTAACATAACAGATCTAAATATGTATTTTTTTATAAATTAGTTTTTTAGAGCAGTAAGTTATTTAGGCTAATTATAAAATATCATTACATATTGCAGGTCTTTTCATCCAAAAACTGTGTCTAAAATTAATCTAGTTATGTTATTTTTGTGAAGGGGATTAAAAAAAAAAAAGCAAGAGGAGAAACTGAAATAGGGTAATTGGACTCTTACATGTTGTTTTTTTGAAAGAAATTCTGTTTTTTTTTTCTTCTAAACTCTCTGTTTAAAGTGTTTAAATCTTACTTTATACACAAAATATCTACTTTCTGTGCATAAAAATGTATGTGGAATATGTTACTGTGCATATGAATAACCCAAAGCATAAATGTGGAGTCCACTCTCCTTCGAAAACCATAAAAATATTAAATAAAACCAACAGAACAAACAAGAACAGATTACTTTTACTATTTACCGAAAGAAATGCTAATTTTTATCACTCTCGTATGCATTAAAACCTAAATTTTGCCACCCCCTTGCAAAACTGATGTTGCGGCCTTAGCTTTAGCATGAAACTCTTTCCTCTCATCAAACAATAATAAATTGCATTTAATTGCGTGAAGGCGTAAGCTGCAACCATGTAGCAAAAGGCCCAGAGGTACTACAACTTAGGGCTTCTTTGCTAGGAGGTTGCAGGTTAGAGCCTCATCCATTAAACTTCCCGAGCACTAGCTTATTTCTGAGAGTGAAGCCAAATGGCCCTCTCTAACTGAGGCCCATCACGGCCATTTGTCTTGTGGTCATGACTTGAGATCCGTCAAGGAAACTGTAATTGAAGGGTCTAATTTTTTAAAAAACTCAGCAATAAGTTGCAAAATTTAAAAAAAAAATCCAGCAAGAACAATCCAGTGAAGAGGGTTTCAGGATGGAGGCCATTCAATGAAATATTTTAGTATTGAAGATTAAGCCAGTGAAGCACTTTAGTTTGAAAGATTCAACCATTGAAGCACTTTAATATAGAAGAATCAATTATTATAGCGCTAATATTAAAGATTAAACCATTAAATTTGCTTTAATACGAATCATTAAACTATACTTCAGAGTAGAATTCCTCCAACTCCAGTTTTATAAGATTAAAATTGAAGGATGCTGCGACTTCCGTCGTTTACATTCCAATTCGTTAATTAAACAAAGAATTTATTTATTTATTTTTACAGAATTCAAAGAGGCATTTATGTTGTTTGATAAGGATTCTGATGGAATGATAACTGCTGCAGAATTAGGAGTTGTCATGAGATCTTTGGGGCAAAGACCAACCGAAATGGAATTAAGGAACATGGTGCATATTGTCGATCAAGATGGTAAATTTCTTGTTTTTTTCCTTTAAAACACTGATGTAAATAACAAAATATAAAGGATTAATCATATTTAATACAGTAATTTATTAACTATTCAACCTATATAATTTTTTATTATACAGTTAAGAATTTAAAACTTTTAAAACAATGTCTCAAACCCTTAAAACTGCATTCTAAAACCTTGAAATCTTATATTTTGAAACATAATTTACATTATATTTATAGTGTAAACATTATTTATGTATATTCCTTTAAAATACACCAAACAGTGGGTCTAGATGGGCCACGATAGGCCTAAAAATAAGGCCCTCTTAGTGCCCTTATAATGGAAAGTACAAAAAAAAAAAAGAATGTCTAATCTTCATATTTTAAGATTTAACCGATTAGTCTTATTCAGACGTATGTGTTTCTTTAAGCTATTTATAATGTCTTAATTGTCATGATGATTTCTTTAAGTCCTCCCGAGAGGACTTAAGGGAAATTGGCCACTATTTAGGTGTTACTAATGCAAAGAAAACCCAGAAAACTCCAAGTGGCCAGCGTGTTGGCTAGACACAAACCCACGACAACAATTATCAGTGTTCAGTGGTTTTATCCACTCGGTCACTAGTGGGTCTATTTAACTTTTCGGACACCAAGTACAGAAGTAGGGAAGGATTTTTCTAATGGAACCAGATCTGTTTTTATTAAGGCTCTTCATTAAACAAGAATATTAAATTTTACCAGTTTTACTTCAGTTTAAATTGGTCATGATTTAGAATTTGCTAATTATTAAGAACTCTTCCTGGTCTTTGAGCTCTAGGCCACGAACAATTTCTCTTTCTTCTATCCCCTTACACCCTTACAATCAGTCTCACATTGCATCTGGTGGCATATTCTGTCCTGAAAGTGGCCTTCGACTTAGTCCTGAAAATGGTCCTTCACCGCTTGGCCACCACATTTTGGACCTGCCGAACCCACAATGGGTATGATTAAAAGGTTCTCTTAGTGCCAATAAAATAGATGGCTTGCTTTACGGCTAGCTGTTGTACTAGCCATAATTATGCTCATTGTGGGTATCACATGCCTACGGTTTGGTAAATACTGCAATTTTATTTATTCTCTTACAGGTAATGGAACTATAGAATTTGACGAATTTTTATATATGATGTCTAAAAAAATGAAAGATACTGACAGCGAAGAAGAACTAAAAGAAGCTTTTAGTGTTTTTGATAAAAATGGGGACGGTTTCATCAGTGCAACTGAATTAAGACACGTAATGACAAACTTGGGGGAGAAACTAACAGATGAAGAAGTAGAAGACATGATCAAAGAAGCTGACTTAGATGGAGATGGTCTTGTTAATTATGATGGTAAATAAGATTTTTAAAATTTAATTTGTTTCTTTTACCATTCAAAAATGTCATTTCAATATCCTACAGTGTGTCCCATAAGCAATACACCATAACAAAATAGGTGTTCAGATGCAGTGCCGGATTAACCAATAACAATAATTTTAACTGACATTATTTCAAATTTCTTTAGAAGCATCTTTATTTAAATGGGGGATCCAATTTAAATTTCATCCAGGGCCCGTTAGAAGCTTAATCCAGCACTGTTCAGATGTTATGTTCAATGTGATTGCCATCTTGTTGCACCCATAAATTCAGAAAAGTACGGTAATCAAATAATTTCAATTTGTTATGGATTACAGTTGACATGCACTTGCAGACACTAAAGGTGCGAGAAGGCAAAAGTTTGCCTGTGGTGCATGAATTATGGATTACAGCCTGTCATGCATTTGTAAACACTAAAGATTCAGAGGCAAAAACCCAGGTTGTCTATTAGCATATGGTACATGAATTATGGAACATCCTGTAGAACCAATGATAGAACCTAATTTAAACATTACTTCCTCTGTTTCAGAATTTGTTACCATTCTGACGTCAGCCAAATGAGAAGAATCAATATTTCCTTCCTTAATTTGTATATGGTGTACACTCAGGACCAGAGTTTGTACAAGTATCGTCCATTTTGTTATATTGAAACAGTAGAGTTCCAATTAACTTAGCGAAGAATGGATTAAGAGAAACACCGTTCATCAATCGAAACAATTTTTTTAATCATTTACATTGGTTTATGATTAAAATACTTCTAGACGAAAAGTGAAACAGTAACATAAAAACAAAAAAATATTAAGTTTTGAATGTATTTTACATTCTACGCTGGTGTATTTCAGTTGATATCATTGAAAAAAATATATATATGAGGAGCTGTTGAGGACAGGTTTGTAGATTTTTGTAGATATATATATTTGATAGAATGAAATAAAAAATATTTCTTAAGTAATGTTATAAAATGAGAGTAAAATGATTTTTTATTTTTATTAAAAATACAATGTTTTAATGCACAGAAGTGGAAGATAAATGCTGATATTAATTGTTTCTGTACAAAAAATTGAAACTTTACCTTTTCATTTTGAACACTTTTCATTATATTCTATAAAAGAAGGTGTTAACTACAGTATAACCTCACTTTATGTTGGTTTCTTCCCAGTAATAGGTTGTATAAGCATAGATCTACCATACTTCTTCCTAAATAATGTCTAGTAAACTTGGCGAAACACTTGATTTTTAATACTTTCTTGATCATTTAGTAAAATTTTTTCTTCTAAACAAGAAATTTTAGATGTGTAGAAGTATTTTCCTGTTTGAAAGTGGAAATTTCACTAAGAATTCGATATTGATGTAGGGCTAATGATGAATAAAATAAATATAAAAGCTTGTAAAGTAATTATTTATATATTCTCCTGGCTTCTTATTTAATCCACAAAGCATAAAAGATGCAACATTGAAGATTCTTGATTCTTACCCATTAAAAATCTGGAAAATGTTATAATTGGGAATCCCTATTGTCAGGGTTGGATGGTGGTACGATGCAGCAAAGTGGCATTTTTTCTAATTTTTATTGTGACAAAAATGTGCGTGACTGCAAAGGCACAAGAGTTGTTGTAAATTGGAAAGATTAAACAGTATAAAGTTTCATTTCCATTGTTCATTTCATTACAATGGGCGGCGGCATTCACAAAACTTGCCTCACTTTTATCTGGCACTGTTTATCAGATACATATTCTAACATTGAACTTTCAAGTAATCACATATTTATGGATTTAATGAGACAATTAAATTAATTTCTCTGAGGTATTATTGATGGGATGAGATTCCACATTTCTTAAATGCTGTGCCTGCCAATATAAGTTTCTTCAACGTCATAGCATAACTTGGCATTCCACTGAACCTTTGATACAGAAGCTGTAAAGAAAAATATCCGAAAGTATTTATAATGTTAGCAATATAAAATAATATAAGGTAAAAAATTCATTTTTTTATGTTAAAAAGATATGAAATTTATTTCATGTAATTGTTTAAATTAATTAATTTTAATTTGTAACATTGAACAAAATATAAATGAATTCCAGTTTCATAACTTATATACAACTAGGGATGGACTTAGATTTGTTGAGGCCCTTTCCTTTCGTCAAATATTAATTGGTACTGTATAAATTTAGGTCCTAAACCAGTGTTTTTAATCTTTTTGTAATACTGGCATCCCTACTTCTTTTTCGATATAGAGTTATTATGTCTTGTGTACTTTTAGTAATACACATAAGAAGTGTTAGGGCACTGCTCAGCACTATATTTTGTGATTCATGAAACATTGTTGTGGCACTCTTCATTAAAAACCACTGCCCTAAGCTGCAGATTGTTTAGCTTATGCACAAATCCAGTCCTGTTTATTGTGGCTCAAATATCAGTTAACAATTCTGAAGAGTTTAATTGTAATTTCTTGACTTATTTCGTCTTCATAACTGTGTCTTCTTTTAATTATTCTTTACTTTACAACTGGGTGCATAGGTAGACACTGGGCATCTTTAACAAGAGTTATGTAGAGGTTTGTTTATTTTTTTACACATAAAGAAGCATAATACTGAATCCAGAGGAATGAATTCAAGTGATGTTGATGGTAGGAAACTGCAATCAGCATGAAGTTGTCAAAGAGTTTAACAAGCTGCATCCACATCCAAGGCTAATATTATAGGTTTCTGGGCAAAGTAGTGCACCACAGGCCCTGCCTGAACAACTGGCAGGTGATTGGAGAATTAGTGTTAAATTCTGGTCTGTGCATAAATTAAAATTGGGCCTCAAGCCCAATTTTATTTTAAATGGTGGAAATTTTAATAAATAAGCACTCACCAGTATCTTTTCCTACTGCCCAGTGTGCCCGTTCATTAAGACGGCACTGTCCAGACCTCCCATCAATCGCACACACGAGCCTGTCTAGATGAAGCCCATTACACTCTTAGTGATTTCATGCTGATGGCAGGAAGATCAAATTAAATTTGTTCTTCCTTAATCAGCACCATGCTTTCTGTAAAAATTAACATAACTTTTATGTGTTCCAGACTTATCTCTGTTTAATCTCTATTATAAACTCTCATTTTCTCCAATTGTTTATGGATTTAAACTCACAAACAGTATTAAATTTCTTAATTATCTTACAATATTGTAATTTCTTCATAAATAAAATAAGTAAATAAAGATTTTTACCAGTCCACAACATAACTTTTGAGCATAAATTGTTGCATGTGTTCATATTGTTGCGCAGTCAGTAAACAGCCTCCTGGAAGATAAACTAGAAAAAAAACAAAGAAATTAATGAAAAAATAAGAAGCAATTGTAAGAAAATGGTGGAAATTTTAATAAATAAGCACTCACCGGTATCTTTTCCTACTTTTTCCTTGAATAAATCACTTTCATCTACTGAAAATCTACCTGAAAATGAAAGACAATGACTTACACAGATTAATAATTACTATATTATTTGTTTATTATCATCAGATATTTATATTATTTTAGTGAAGATGATATGTAAATATAATTTATAGTTTAATAATACAGTTAATCATCATCAAAATTGATCATTTTTAGTATATTTTCTGTTAAATAATCTGACAATTTAAATAAAAATTAAGTGTCTTTAAGTCTCAGCCACTGGTATGATCTTTTTTAATTTAAATTACAATATATTACACTGAGTGGTTAACACAACTAAACACTGGTAGTTAATCTCAGGTTAGCACCTCACCAACAGGCTGGGCATGTGGAATTTTCCGCATTTTCTTCGCTTGTTTAACAAATAAACCTGTTATTTCTGTTCTGCAATATAAATCTGTTGTTATAACTGATATAAATACTTACCTTCTTGTAATGTATTTGGAATACAAGTGCCAGAACTTGGAATCCCTCTGACAGGATCACCGGGTTCTTTGATGCGACAAGTATATCCTGATGGACATCCTGTTGTTTCAGTAGGTGCCAAAGTAGAGGAACCGCTACACGAACGTTCAACTACATCTGTGTAAATAAACAAAATAAAGCCTTGAAATCAGATCTTTTATTGTTTATTGTAAAGTATGTAGGAATTTTTGTGTGAATACTTTTGACCCAACCCATGACACATCTGGTATTATTTGATACATGTTCTATATGAAAAAAGAGGGAAAAAAATTTGACATGTGCTAGCAACCTACTTTCAGATTTAAAGAAGGAAGTGAAGGTCTTTTGTTTTCAATGAAAACATTTATTTTATTGTTTTTTCTCTTCATTTAAATAGTAGAGTGGGGTTAATTCTATCAAGTGTTGTCATGTAAAGCCTCTTGTAAGACATGTCCTACGTTTGATAGGGATTAAAAAAAAGCGACATTAGAATAATAATAGAAATAGGAAAAAGGATTTTGTTATTTATTTTATTTTGTTTTAGATATATATAATAATACAATAAAATCTGTCTATGACGGAATTTGTCTAAAACGGTATTGTTCGGTGCTAGTCTATACAGGTTTTACTTTACAACTTTTCTCTTCTATTTTCTCATAGAAGATATCTATGGAAAAATCAGTTCTGGAAATGCTATATATATGGATGATAGTGAAGTCGTGTCAGGTGAGGTTGCTCATAGGGTACCTCTATTACCATAGGCTACCGTACCCATATAGTTAAGTAGGTATCCTTCCATAATCTCTCATAGAAGATACCTATTGAAAGTTACCTCCAGAATGCTATAGATATAGATGATAATGAAGATGTACAGTAAGTCTGAGGTTGCTCATAAGTTACCTCCACCATACCCACATAGTAACTGATATTCTCTATGAGAGGATACATATGGAAGGGTAAGAAGCATCCTCTTAACATAAACAGTTAACCACGTTAATCATACATGCAACTATTATCATCATCATCAATTAAATTATTAATATTTATTGATGATACAAATAGTTTATCATCAATCTATGTAAGAAAAATGACCTAATCAATGTCACTCACCTGGTAAAGCAACTGAATTCATATCAGCTTCTTGTAACCAATCGATAACTATAAATATATATTATTAATATAGTTTAAATACATAATAGCACATAATACACATAAAAATTCTCTCATTAATGTTTTAGGGTCCTGATGCAAGTGTTATTAAGCATATGAATGAGGTTATTAATGTGCATTGAAAATAACAGATTTATGGGTACTATGTATATATAAATAAAATATAGTATGGTTATGCATAAGGATAATTATGTGCTCATAACTTGATCATGTAATATAAAATACGTTCATAGTTCGTAGACAAATTGCATTTGTAAGCACATAGTTATATCTTTACAACTATGTGCATAATCTATGAAACTAATTACTCACATAATTATATGTTTATTGTTATAAGCACATAGTTACATAGTTATCTTAAATGCACATGGTTATGTGCTTATAACAATTATGTGCATCATATATGTGCTTATAATAAAATTATGTAAGTATATATTTATAACTATAGATATATACTATAATTATAACTATGTGCTTATAGATATTATTAAAGTAATACGTTTATAGTTATGTGCTTAACCATAAAATTACCTGCTACACATAACTACTATAAACATAATTATGGCAAAATGCATACAGTTATTATTATAGTAATATGTATATGTTTATAAACATAGTTATGTTACATGCTTATAACCATGTAAATCATCTATAAAACTAAGTACAGTACTACACATAATTACTTACATGAAAAAATTCAGAATTTTAAGCGTAATTTATAACTTGATATCTAATTTTTTCACGTATAAAGTTTATAATTATATGCCTGGTACCGAAAACATAACTATGTGCACGATGGTATAAACATAATCCGGTATTTACGTCTATGTGCATAATCACACGCATATAATCATGAAGGTTATATGCATATGATTATGCACATAGATGTAATTTATATGTGGTTAATCTTATAATAGATCTGTGCATAAACATATATGTATAACCATCTCCCTGTAACTATGTGCATAGTATTAATATTATAAGTATAACTGTATATTTAAGTATATAAGTATAACGATATGTTCACAATTATGTCTATAAAACTATAAACATAACCATATATTTACATCTATGTGCATAACATAATACGTATAACCATTTCGCTATGACTATGTGCTTAATGATGTAAGCATAGCTAATATTTTAGATTTATGACACGATACTATAATATCTATGTGCGTGATATTATACACATAAATACAATGGACTTTTGTTGTGCTGTCCACTTGATATAATGAACGTAGTTACGTTTATGTGCACGATACTATAAACATAGCTCTAACCTTATAACCACGCTCATAACATAAGTATAACCGCAGGCGTGTGATTTAATGAGTGATATTACAATACAAACATAACTATGAGCTGTACAGTCGATCCCCCCTATAACACTGTAGATAATTCCGTGTTATACGAATTCCATGTTGTACCAGTCACTTAGATTTTACAAATACGTGAGCCGTTCGCAGCCCGGCATACGTATTCGTAAGATCTAAGTGACTCGTACAACATGGAATTCGTATAAAATGGAATTATCTACAGTGTTATAGGGGGGAAGTCTACTGTATTTTGTCATAATTATGTTAAATTTTTGGGTTATTGGGATTTTAGAGCGTGTTAAATACCCTAAAATTACATTTTTGGTGTACCGTATTTGGTATATGTGGCTTTTTTTAGAAAGAATCATTTCATTTGTCACGAAACAATTCTGCATACAATAGAATGAATCATAAAGAACCGGTTCTTATCGCGTCCTTTTATTATTCTTTATCTCGAACGTCCGTTTGTCTGGATTTAAAAACTCATTTAAAGTAATTTTCGCAGGGATTTTTCGCTGGCGAGGTCATCATTCCATTCCGGGTTCGGTCGATAGAGGAAAAATTGGCGCTACTCACCGGCAGCAGGCGCCATCTGTTGAGTGCAGGTGAAAACGCAGCCGTTGTAACAGCAGAGTAAATTGTCGCAATCCGCGTGGAAGCGACAAGGTCGTGCTGAGCATTTGTCTTTTTCTATAGGCCAGGTCGGTGCTGGGCATTTCTGTTGATCGGTGTCGTTGCTGGACACGAGTTTGGTGAGGAAATGCTGCAACTGTTCCTGCAGAAAAAATCATTTTAAAAAAATATGAGGAAAATTGAGGCGAAGAAGAAAAAAAAAAGTCTAAATTTTGGTGAGGTCGAGAGATTACTTTAGCTGTTTCTGTGAGGAAACAGTAAACAATTGAAAATAATGGGCATAAATGTTTAGTGAGGAAATGTTCCTTTAGAGAGAAAACAAGAAAAAAAATTGGAAACGATGATTAAAAATATTATGAGGAATCGTTTCTACGTGAGGAAAAATAACATGAAACTGAAAATAATGTCAAAAATATGATGAGGAATTGTTTATAAATAAGGAAAAATAACTTAAAACTGAAAATAATGTCAAAAATATGATGAGGAATTGTTTATAAATCAGGAAAAATAACTTAAAACTGAAAATAATGTCAAATATATGATGAGGAACCGTTTATAAATGAGGAAAAATAACTTAAAACTGAAAATAATGTCAAAATATGATGAGGAATTGTTTATAAATGAGGAAAAATAAGATAAAACTGAAAATAATGTCAAAATATGATGAGGAATTGTTTATAAATGAGGAAAAATAAGATAAAACTGAAAATAATGTTAAATATATGATGAGGAATTGTTTCTACATGAGGAAAATGAAAATAAAAATTGAAAATGTGAGTGAGGAACTGTTCTTCTATTAGGAAAAAAAAAGTAAACAATTGAAAACAATGGGCACAAAAATATGACGAACTGTTCCTGCTATGGGAAAAAATAAAAACAAATGTACAAAATTATGAGGAAATAAATATATAAATTTGGCGAGAAATTGTTTTATTAACATTGCTGTAGGAACAATTAATTAATGAAAATAACGGGCATAAAAGTATAACGTGAAAGTGTTAAAAAGCCAAAAGCTAAGAATATCCTGTAGGATAATAAATTGAGTATAAATTTGGTGAGGAATTGTTGCAGTTGTTCCCGTAGAAAAGAGGAAAAATTTAACTGAGGAACTGTTTCTATTGAAGAAAAGCAAATTACGTTCTACAGAAACGAGTATAACTAATGAGATTGTTTCAATTGTTCCAATAAAAGAGATTAAAAAACAATTGCATTCGTTCCACTTGTTTATATTCACTTCTAAATGATCATTCAGTTGAAAATCGATCGATCGCCGATCGATGATCGCAAAAAAACACTAAAAATTCTGGAGTTATTGTATCAATTAAACGTAACATAGCGACAGTTGTCATTAAAGGGAGAGAGATTTGAAACGGAAATTGGTGGTGACCTTTTAACCTTTTTTTGTCAATCAAGAAATACCCCCTTCGTCCTTGACGTGTAGATCTGTTTTTCTGAAGAATATTTTAAATGTAAATCTTTACATTTTATTTCGCGATCGATCAAATTTCTTTGTGAAATTTGACGTACGAAACGAAGAAAATTTGTCAGGATATTTTGAGAAAATTAATAAGAAAATAACGCATGAAATCCTTATGCATATATGAAATATTAAATGTTCGTGAAATTCTAAAATGTTCACGAGAAATGTGAGTGAAATTTTGGAAAAATTCATTAACAATGTCATTGCCTGAAATTCTGAAGAAACTTATAAAAATTGGAATTGAAAATCTGAGAAAAATTTCATAAAATTGTTCATGAAATTTTGAGATAATTTGCCCGAAATTCTGAAAAATTACATGGAAAATATACGTGAAATACTGAGAAAATTCGTTAATATTGTTTATAAAATTCTGAGGAAATTTGTTAATATTGTTCACGAAATTTTGAGAAAATTTGTTAATATTGTTCACGAAATTTTGAGAAAATTTGCATGAAACTCTGAAAAATTACATGGAAAATATACGTGAAATACTGAGAAAATTCGTTAATATTGTTTATGAAAATCTGAAAAAAATTGTTAATATTGTTCGTGAAATTCTGAGAAAATTTGCACGAAATTCTGAAAAATTACATGGAAAATATACGTGAAATACTGAGAAAATTCGTTAATATTGTTTATGAAATTTTGAGGAAATTTGTTAATATTGTTCATGAAATTCTGAGGAAATTTGTTAATATTGTTCGTGAAATTCTGAGAAAATAAGCGTGAAATTCTGAGAAAATTACATCGAAAATATGCGTGAAATTTTGAGAAAAAAACACCGTCGAAAATCTGATAAAAATCACAAAAAAGTTGACGAAATAATAAAAATATGTACGAAATGCACGATAAAGTGCATGAAATATTTGTTCGTGGATATTATTTAAATTTCCTTTTTTGAAATAATTGAATTAAAGAAATTCTTTAGAAAATGCTCGAGTTATTGAACTCGACAGAAACAAGTTGATTAAACTCTCATCCGGTTTTTCTTTTTATCAACACTCTTAAAAACTCGAAAACATTTCTAAGAATAAAATAATTAATATCGAATTTTAATTCAAAATTTCATGAAATTTAAATTTCTATTATTTATTATTTACATATTTTAAATATTCTCCCGTTTTTATTAAGAGAAATGCGAATTAAGCGGGCGGTCGTAAAGCGAGGTCTTGTTTATTGCCTTAAATTCTGAATTTCATTTACAATAAAACGCAATTAAATTCTTATTTTTTAAATTTCAATTTCGCGTTATTAAATGTGTCAACCTAAAACCTACAAATTAATAAAAGGAACCCTTTTTTATTTTTCCTCTAACAAGGCGGAACAAAATGGCATTTCCTGTTTGTTAAATTACGGTACGAAATTTCATTATCGTCGACTCGACTCGACGACTTTCTTTCATCTGTTCGGCAATTACGGTAAACCTGTCTAAGGCGGAACTTGCCTAAACGGGAAAATTCTCCGGTTTACGCAGGTTTAACTGTAAATAAAGGACCTAAAATCGAGTGTTCCTAATAGAATTTCGCATTCTTGAATATCATTGTGCGGAAGAGAAGTTTCCTTGAGGAAATACTGGCAGAAGTGAGTGAGGAAGTTCGTCTGAGAAGATACCGGCAGTGAGAGAAAGTTTCTGGAAAGTGATACTATGAGAAGGGAGTGAGGAAGTTTGTCTGAGAGGAAATACAGATAGAGAAAGAGAGTAAAGAGGTTTTTTATGAGGAAATGCTGGTAGAGGAAGCGAGTGAAGAGGTTATTATGAGGAAATATTAGCAGAGGAAGTGAAAAAAGTGGTTTTTCTGAGGAAACAACGTTAGAGGAAGCGAGTAAAAAGCTTTTTCTGAGGAAATTCTGGTAGAGGAAGCGAGTAAAAAGCTTTTTCTGAGGAAATTCTGGTAGAGGAAGCGAGTAAAAAGCTTTTTCTGAGGAAATGCTGGTAGAGGGAGCGAGTAAAAAGCTTTTTCTGAGGAAATGCTGGTAGAGGAAGCGAGAAAAGTGGTTTTTTTTTCTGAGGAAAAACTAGCAGAGAAAGTGAGTGAAGAGATTTTTCTGAAATACTGATAGAACTGAAGATATTGGGGCCTTTTTGAGACCTCCAATACATTGAGTTATTCTATCAGTATATCAGTTCTTCAGGTGTATAGAGTTCTGCTGGACTTCCTAAGATACGGTCTGTACTGTACTGTACAGTACATAGTGCATGCGCTCTTCTAATAATGAGCTTTTCAGCATTCTATTAGGTCGTAAAGCGGGGATCTGCTACAGATATCAATTATCTTCTAAATTGAAGCAGAACATAATGAATTTTATACAAATACCACGACGAAACCATAGAAATTTAATTAATTAAATAAAATGTGGCAGCAAAATTAAAGAAATTCTTCACTCGTTTTCTAGCTAAATTATTGATTTTTAATTGAGAATTTAATAAGATCTACGAGTAAATTAAGTGTTAAAGAATCTTCCCTGCGAGTTGCTTATTAATATTTATCATCAAACGAAGGTCAGTTTGTGTGTCTGCCTTTAAAAATATCAATAAAATGTCACTTAAATTAATTATCCTATTTATTTTTTCTGCTATAGAAATGATGTCATTAACAGGGAATGTATATTAAAAAAAAAGACTATTTTACCTTCTAATTCGACCGATTAAACTTTGTAACGCTTGATTATTATAGGAATTATAATATATTCTCGATATACAGTTAACCCCGCTTTTACGACTAATTTTTTTGCTGTAAAACAATTTTTTTTAAGCGAGTCGTCGTAAAGCGAACCTTGATTTCCCATCGATTCAGTGTTATAAAAGGAGGTTCGGTTCCTGAATCATAGGATAAATTCTACTGTTCAAAATTCATGGATACGTCCTAAATCTTGAGATTCTTGGAAGTTTCCTATTTATCCAAAATTTATAAGGATTTATCTTATGATTTATCGAGAATTATCCTTACTTTGGATTATCTTCCAGATGTAAATATTTTAATTTTGATTCTTACAGTCATATCTATATTTCAAAAATAATAAGAAATTTGTGCCAAAATTCTTATTTATTCTTTAAAAAATAACTGAAAATTTCATGTGAAAAATTAATTAATTCTTTCACAAAGAAACTTCATCGCTTACACGAGATGAATATAATCTTACAATTTCGCTGATTTCTCTTACAATTTCGCTGATTTCGCTTAAATTTCGTTTATTCCTCTTGCAATTTCATCCATTTCTCTTGAAATTTCGCTGATTCATCTTGAATTTTCATCCATTTCTCTTGCAATTGCGCTGATTTCTCTTAAATTTCGTTCATTCCTCTTGCAATTTTATCCATTCCTCTTGAAATTTCGCTGATTCATCTTGAAATTTCATCCATTTCTCTTGCAATTGCGCTGATTTCTCTTGAATTTCGTTTATTCCTCTTGCAATTTTATCCATTCCTCTTGCAATTTCATCCATTCCTCTTGAAATTTCATCCATTCCTCTTGAAATTTCGCTGATTTCTTTTGAAATTTCGTTGATTCCTCATAAAATTTCATTCATTCCTCTCAATTTCACCCACCAGTGACCACGTGGATTTTCCCGGGTTTTCTTCACGTTCGTAACAGCTAAATATAAACGAGATTCCCCTAGAAAGTCCCCCGGAGAGGCATCCCCCCCTCAGCACATCGCCCACG